TAACGACGATTCACCACTAAGTGGCGGTGACGTCGCCACGGCATTTGAGCCAGGCTAAGTGCACCTTGAGGCCGATAGGAGCGTTTGAAATGTCCAAAACGCTCACTCGCCCACTCACACACTTGTAGGTGAAAACAACACACTCACCCACTCAGCGACTTCCGCGCTCGCTCACCCACTCATTCACTCAACTACATTCCCACTCACCCACCCAACTACTTTCCCACTCACCCACCCACTCGCTCACCCACTCGCTCACCCACGGACCGACTCACCTACTTCCCCACCCACTCACCCACTCGCTCGCCCACTCACCCGCTCGCCCACTCACCCACTCACTCACCACTCACTCACCCACGGACCGACTCACCTACTTCCCCACCCACTCACCCACTCGCTCGTCCACTCGCTCGCCCACTCACCCGATCGCTCGCCCACTCACTCACCCGCTCGCCCACTCACCCACTCACTCAACTGCTTTCCCACTCGCTCACCCACTCACTCACCCACTCGCTCACCCACGGACCCACTCATCTTTTTCGCCACCCACTCACTCGCTCGCTCGCCCACTCACTCACCCACTCGCTCGCCCACTCACCCACTCACTCACCCGCTGGCTCACCCACTCACTCACCCGCTCCCTCGCCCACTCACCCACTCGCTCAACTGCTTTCCCACTCGCTCACCCACTCACTCACCCACTCGCTCACCCACGGACCGACTCACCTACTTCCCCACCCGCTCGCCCACTCACCCACTCGCCCACCCACTCACTCGCTCACGCACGCACTGCAGGCCACCCAACTTATTTGTATGCTTCTCCCCTTACAGCGCTGCACTTTTAAACTCCCTCCCACCGTCGTCTCCTTCACACATTTCTTATTATAATAACAATACTAACCTTGCTCAATTCAAGGCACGTATGAACTCCACGCTATTAGTACACCTTCATTCAACAGTGCTCTTTCTTCCATAATAGAGTTTTTTTGGGTTAGATCGCGTAAATATATAAATGTGTCGTTAAACCCACCACCACCCGACACAGCCAACTAGTAAGGGTTGTCACGTAAACAGAACGTGGCCAATTCGTCACTAGTACAGCACACCGGTGTGTTGGAGAGCAAAGCCACAACATTTACAATCGACACATTTATATATTTACGGGATCTAGCCCAAAAAAACCGTCTATTATGGATGCTATTGGTCGCGGGAAAATACGTGTTAAACTGTGATCTTTCTTTTTCGATTTAACGTTTTCGTGACTGCAGGGATTCATCTTCTTGGTTCTTTCGGTAAAGTCACGTAGAAGGGAAATAATAAAATAATATATTATTATATTATATTTTAATGTTTTATTTTTATTATTTTATTATTTCCCTTCTACGTGACTTTACCGAAAGAACTAAGAATATGTGATCTTTCTTGTTTGCTAATTGATGTTTCGAGTTTGGGTGGGGGGGGGGATCTCGGGATCTGTATTCAGCAATCGTGATTTAAAATAAACAAACATCTCTCCTTTATGCCTCCGAAATGGAATTGGCCGAAACATCCCCTGTGCAGGACGAATCTTCAAAAAATAAAATCGGTCTCGAGACTCGGTGTCGCTTTCAACAGGCACAAATGGCGTTGTTATTGTTAGAATAATTTATTTTCTTTCTACGCGACTTTACCGAAAGACCCCAAGAGAATAATAATTGCCGTTCACGCGGTTGTTGCCATGGAAGAGAAGCCGTGAAACCAGCAGGAGAACTGGAGTGACGCGCGCACGCGGGGAATTTGCTAAAGGGGCCGTCCATAAATGACGTCACGCACCTAGGGGAGGGGTAGTCAGACATGTGTGACATGGGGGGAGGGGGTTTGAGAAATGTGACGTCACGTGAAAATGCGCATTTTTAAATAAATATAGACGTTCTACTTAATTAAATACACTTTTGATAAATGTTTTCTGCGACAACATCAGAGTGCAGCGCCACATTAAATACGCACTACATTCTAGATTTGAAGCTTTCGTGACTGCAAGGATTCATATTCTTAGGTTTTTTCGGTAAAGTCACGTAGGTAAAACATCAAAATTAATACAAATAAATAAAATAACATAAAAATAAAAGAAAAAATGATTTTTGTTTTATTTTTATTTATTTTTATTAATTTTGATGTTTTACCTACGTGACTTTACCGAAAAAACCTAAGAATGCGATTTGAAGCATGTTTTATTTTTTTGGGGCGGTGGCAGAGCTTTGTGACGTCTATTTGAGGGGGGGGGGGGTCTGACTTTTTGTGACGCCGTGTGACTAGCGGGGGGGGGGGGGGGTCAAAAATCATCCAAAATCGCGTGACGTCATTTATGGACGGCCCCTTACGGGCAGCGCTGTCGCATCGGGGCGACCAGGCGAGAGAGAGACCAACGGAGAGGAGACGGCCTATCAAGACGCAGAGCGCTGATTGTCTGCCCGCAAATTGCAAGCGCGTGACGGGCGCCAGGCTGACGAGAGATCGAGGCGATAGCGGCAGAAGCCACAGGGAGTGAGGCTACGGGAGGTCCCCAGCTTAATTAGAGAGGAGCCTTTTGGCGTCATCTGGTCTAAAGAAAGCTGTCTCTGGTGTGGACCAATCAGTTTCAAAGACAATGCATACATTATCAGAGTATTGTTTTTGTTTGCATTTGACTGCAAGTATTGTGGTTAATGTAAACATGATTCCTTGCAAAAGGTGTCAGTTTAGTTGCCAGAAAAAAGGGGAAAACCCCTATTAGTATATGTTGGTACTGGCAAAGGAGGTCCCATGATGTAGCTGCTCACCCCGAGCTCTCATTACTCTGGTAGTGCGTTGTCTTTGAACTGTGCGCCTTTTGGCGTCATCTGGTCGAACACCATATGAGACTAGGCTCTAAAGAAAGCCGTCTCTGGTGTGGACCAATCAGTTTCAAAGACAATGCATAAATTATCAGAGTATTGTTTTTTGTTTGCATTTGACTGCAAGTATTGTCGTTAATGTAAGCATGATTCCTTGCAAAAGGTGTCAGTTTTGTTGCCAGAAAAAAGGGGAAAACCCTATTAGTATATTTTGGTACTGGCAAAGGAGGTCCCATTATGTAGTTGTTCACCCCGAGCTCTCATTACTCTGGTAGTGCGTTGTCTTTGAACTGTGCGCCTTTTGGCGTCATCTGGTCGAACACCATATGAGACTAGGCTCTAAAGAAAGCTGTCTCTGGTGTGGACCAATCAGTTTCAAAGACAATGCATAAATTATCAGAGTATTGTTTTTTGTTTGCATTTGACTGCAAGTATTGTCGTTAATGTAAGCATGATTCCTTGCAAAAGGTGTCAGTTTTGTTGCCAGAAAAAAAGGGGAAACCCCCTATTAGTATAGAGAGGAGTTGATGAGGGGGGATATATACGGGAGCGTGGGAGAGAGAGAGAGTGACATGGAGTAGGGAGAGAGGGGGGTAGAGAGAGAGAAGGGGTAAGGAGAGCAGAGCGTGAAATCCTTTGTGAAATCTTTCATAAAGCAAAGCATTGAAAAAAAAAACGAAAAAACCGAAATGATGAACGAAGCAAAGTGCCGACTACACCGAGCATCTTCTTGTTTCCTCTGATCGTAAAACAAAAAGAGAGGGAGTTGAGTTGGTCGGAGTGAAGATAAGAGGGGATAAGTCGAAGGTCCCGCTCGCCACGCCTCGCCTTCTAAGCGGTGATGGCTTAACCCCCCCCCCCCCCTGGAGGCAAGGGCGAGGTTGGAGAGGCGAGGGGAGAAAGGCTAGCAGTAGAGAAGCTAGCAGTAGAGAAGCTAGCAGAAGAGAAGCTAGCAGAGGGGAAGCTAGCAGCAGAGAAGCTAGCAGTAGAGAAGCTAGCAGTAGAGAAGCTAGCAGAAGAGAAGCTAGCAGTAGAGAAGCTAGCAGTAGAGAAGCTAGCAGTAGAGAAGCTAGCAGAAGAGAAGCTAGCAGAAGAGAAGCTAGCAGTAGAGAAGCTAGCAGTAGAGAAGCTATCAGAAGAGAAGCTAGCAGTAGAGAAGCTAGCAGTAGAGAAGCTAGCAGTAGAGAAGCTAGCAGTAGAGAAGCTAGCAGAAGAGAAGCTAGCAGCAGAGAAGCTAACAGAAGAGATAGGGAGAGGCTAGCAGTAGAGAGGCTAGGAGAGTGAGTGAGAGAACAGGCTAGCAGTGGAGAGGCTAGGGGAGTGAGAGAGAGAACAGGCTAGCAGTGGAGAGGCTGGGAGAGTGAGTGAGAGAACAGGCTAGCAGTAGAGAGGCTAGGAGAGTGAGAGAGAGAACAGGCTAGCAGTGGAGAGGCTGGGAGAGTGAGTGAGAGAACAGGCTAGCAGTAGAGAGGCTAGGGGAGTGAGAGAGAGAACAGGCTAGCAGTGGAGAGGCTAGGAGAGTGAGAGAGAGAACAGGCTAGCAGTAGAGAGGCTAGGAGAGTGAGAGAGAGCAGGCTAGCAGTGGAGAGGCTAGGAGAGTGAGAGAGAGAACAGGCTAGCAGTGGAGAGGATAGTGAGAGAGAGAGATCGGAGCGAGAGGGCGAGCAGCGCAAGCAGGAACATCACGACGGAGTCGCGGGTTGTCGAACGCGATGAGTTCTGTTCAATGAAAAGGCGACACACAGGAGAAAAATAGAAAAAGTTGTCCGCGTGAAATAAAAAAAACAGTACAGAAATATAATGGGCGTTGGTGTTGGTCGCGTTTTTTTTTGTTAAACCAATGTTGGCCGGCAAGCCACGGGTCGCCTGTAACTCTCCCAGCGATTACATCACCTGCATCGTCATCATATCCGCTTCACGTTTTATCATACTCAGCCGGCAGTTGCTTGGCCTGCGCCTATGACAAACGTTTTGCGAGTACATCAAGCGAACGTCAACAGACGTAGCACCGATTTACGAAGCTAAATCGGCGTCCGTGATGGTGACCGAGAGATGGAGATTGTTGGGAGGAAAACTGTGGTGCCGAGGTGATGGGGGTACACCGCTCGATACTAAGAGTGGACACGTGGAGTGGAATGTCCTTCTTACCTCCAAGTTGTTGGTAGATCGGGGGCAAGAGGATAACGTCGGCTCTGCTTCGTCGCTTGCTCCGTGTCTCTCTCGAGGAGGGTCCCCTTGCAAGGTCGCTTTCTTAGCTCGCGCGTATCTCCTGCCCGGAGCAATGGGGAGGGACTTACATTGAGAAACTCAACGCCTGACTACGGGAGGTTCTGCTCCTCCCACCGACATCAATTGTCCCGCGGTGCTGAGTGGGCGAGTTTCATAAACTCGCTGGCGTCCAACGCCCCCCGGAGATTACACAGAGGTGGCGTGGCAGTAACTCGTTAATTGCGGGGCCAATTTTGTTTTTAATCCTTTATATTAAGTTCACTTGCTTGCTTGCTTGCGCGCTTACGACCGTGCAAATCTTTCGGTCGTTTTTTAACTCACTTCCCGTGATCCAATCGAGCTGACATTTTGCACACAGACTCGTTGTGCGTGACAATTTATTTTCGTGAAAATTTTTTTTCCAATATTTTCCACTTTTTAGAAATTTTCTTTTTTTCATATTTAATTTTAAATACCAATGTGATAAAAATGAAACTCTTACTCAAGAAAAACAGAAATGAATAATAAAATAAAACCGATGCCACGCATATAAAGGATTTATAGTGAAAAACTTTTTTTTACGGGTTAATTTTTTTTTAAACAAAGCCCGCGCCTCGCTGATGAGACACCAGATGGTGGAAACAGGTGCCGTGTTTGCTTTGTTTTTATCAAGCTGCTGCTGCTTGATAATAGTGGCGTGAAAGCAGTGCCGGACTAAGCTAGTGCGGGGCCTGTAGTGTATATTATAAATGGGCCCTAAAAACCACGTGAATAGTAAAACACATACATTTTTAACTTGCCTAGTAAAGTAATTGTATTTTTTCATTTGCTATACAGCCAGATAATGTGACAGATCGCTAACCTTAAACACCCAGAGGAATTTAGCATATTTATGGGATTACTCTTGATATGCACATTCTTTTTTTTCAAGGCGCTCTTTTTCCCCCCTCCAACCCAACTTAAATATACGCTCCAAGCTTGGCGGTGTTTCATTCTACACCTGAGGACGGCTGCTTGAGTTGTGGCAGAAACGTCGTGAGAATTATTTTATTATGTTTATTTTTATTATTTTATTACTCCCCTTCTACGTGACTTTACCGAAAGAACCAAGAAGATGAATCCCTGCAGTCACGAAAGCTTTAATCGAAATTTAGGTGTTTGTTTTTCAAGCGCTGTGTGGAGGAGTTGCGTGGAGGGAGCGGTGGTGCAGTGGTTAGCCATGCTGCGCTACTGATCCAGCCATCCGAGTTCGATTTCCACTCACGGCCGCCAACACCAGTGATGAGTATTTGAACTAGATCCTGGGCCTCCTCTAGGTTGACTCAGCCTCAAATTAGTACCTGGTGCGGTGTGCAAGCATCGCTACTGGGGAGACAAAGGCGGACGGCCGTTGTGCTAGTCACCCACTTCCTCGTGTGCCGTTTAAGGCTACAGGGGGATCTTTGTCTTGTGGGGGAGTCGAGGTTGAGCTCAAAGGGGTGGAACTGAGGTGAGCTCTGAGTTGATGATGGAAAGGTGATGGTGTGGTGAGATGCTGTGTGGCAGGACGGGGTGAATTGACTGCCAAGCCACACGCTGGCGTGAAATCACGCGGGCACACGTGATGCGTGCATGTTGTAAAAAAAAATTGGTAAAAACCCCCCCAAGTGTTTCCAATGCACACACTTTATTTGCACTCAAAAGGAGAAAAGAAAATGTTGACTTAAAACTTTCGTGACTGCGGGAATTCATATTCTTTGGTTCTTTCTGTAAAGTCATGTAGATATAAAAATAATAATTAAAAATAAAGTGAATGCAAATGATACAAATTTAATAAAAACCATTAATGTAGACTGTAGCCTGTTTATTAAGTTTAGTGAGTGTCCTGGCAGTCTATAATGTAGACTCAAATTCACCATGGAGGTGGAAAAGGATGGCAAGTTACCATTCTTGGATGTTTTAATCGAAAAGAGACCAGATGGCTCAATGGGACACTGTCTACAGGAAAGCCACCCATACGGATGCCCACCTAAAATCTGACTCCCACCACCATCCATCCCAGAAGAATTCCCTCATCAAAACTCTACACCATAGAGCTCGATGCATCTCCGACCATCATCACCTAGCCAGTGAACTGGAACACGTACACCAAGCTCTCCAGATGAATGGATATTCAGACAACACAATCCGTAAAGCTATCACCCCAACCGTTGGGAAAGAACCATCTGAGGACCCAATCAAAACCATCACCTTGCCATACATAGCAGGGGTTACCAAACATTTCCAAAATCATGAGCAAACACAAGATCCAGGTTCTATTCAACACGGTATATAAAATTCGTGATCTGATCCCATCTGTGAAGGATGTGATCCCTGACATGCAATACCCCGGTGTCTACAAACTAAGCTGTGTCTGCGGCAGTAGTTACATTGAGGAAACTAAGCGACATGTCTCGGACCTTGTTCGTGAACACAAGGCAGATCTGAAACACGGTAGGACCAATACCTCGGCCGTGGCTGATCATTGTTTCAACGCTGTGGGCACACACGAAATTGATTTTTCCTAGACGAAGGTACTCTGCAAACCCACTGGCTATCAGCAAAGATTCGTTCATGAAGCCATCCAGATATATAGACACAGACACAATTTCAACCGAGAAGATGGGTACAAACTGAGAAATCATTGGAAGGACGTTATTAACCAGTTTAAGTCATAACTGGCTGTGATGTTTCCATCCTCCCTGCCGATGTTAGCAGTTATTTTCGACTCGCTGAGTTACATTACCAGGTTAAATGTCTTTACATTAACAGGCTAAATGTCTCACTAACACAGCCACCGTTGCACGTTTTCCTCGATGTGGCGGTAGTTTTCGTTTTTCCTACATTGTCATGCTAATCTTTCACAATACAATGGCCACCTCCACAGCTTAGTCGTCGTGGAGGTAGGTCAGCTCTCCGATCTTACATTTACATGCAAATTTAATTTCTAGCCCCACCCACGTTGCTTATGACCATTGGGCTACACTCATCTCTAACCTTTATAACATCCTGCCTCAGCAGCTCTTCCACTATATTTTTTCACCCGATGACGATTGCTTGTGTTGCGATCGAAACGTCGTGATATTTTTAAAATCATTTTTCTATCTACGTTACTTTACCGAAAGACCCAAAGAATATGAATTCCTGCAGTCACGAAAACTTCAAGATTTACACTAGCCTGGTTCTTAACTTCGGTGAGCGTACTGGCAGTCTATAATGTAGACTGTAGCCTGGTTCTTAACATCGGTGAGCGTACTGTCAGTCTATAATGTAGACTGCAGCCTGGTTCTTAACCTCGGTGAGCGTACTAGAGTGGCGTCTGTTTTCACAGGAGGCCGGGGAGGGGCGGGTTAACCAACACCACGCCAGACCGCCTTCGTTTCCCCAAAGTGCTGAGACAATATTGTTCACAAGCCGCGCACTTGGTAAAATAAATCGGAAAGAGAAGTTATTGGCCACGAGCGGGGCACTCGATCTAGGGCCACCGGGTGCGTAGCGCAGCGCGCGAACCACCACAGCCATCATCGGGCACACAAAGACAAAGGTCCCCCGTATAGCCCAAGCAGACTGTTGGGACAAGTGCTGTTAGCAAGCACCTATGAAGGCCGGAACGGCACACGAGGGAGTGGGTGGCCAGCACCGTGCCCGGCCGCGCCTTTGTCTCCTTCGTGGCGATGTTTACACACCGAACCAGGTACAGTACTCAATTTGAGGCCGAGTCAACCTAGGGGAGCTCCAGAACCGCTTCAGATAATCACCACTGGTGCTGGTCATGAGCTGCAATCGAACTCGGGTTTGCCGGGTTCGTAACGCAGTCCGTTAACCACTACACCACCGCACCCCAACACAATTGCGCACGCTCACACACACACAGAGATCACAAAGCACGCAGGAACTGCACCGGGGCGACGTGACCTCACCTTACCTGTGCACACACCTGTATGCAAATCAACGCGTTGCGCAACGACCTCGCCCACGGGAGGTGTGGGAGGTGGTTCCGGACACATTCCAGCCAGCGAAACTAAAATCTCGTTTCGCTGGTCCAGAAAATAATTTGGCCACTCCTCAAGCTCCTCATAAGATTATCCCGGAAGGTCTACAGTGGTTGTCCTATATGCAGTGATTGGGCCCTGCCATGACAAGGTGGAATTTCCACCACAGGCTCAGGCTCGCCACTGAAGACGTTTAAGCAAGGGGACAATTCGACTTTTAAATTTAACGCGTAGGAGGTGGGTTTACGACATCACATTAACGCGATCCAACCCAAAACACTTCATCAATTAGACTTTCGATGTGAATGTAACTTGTCTTTTTTTAACCACGTGAGTGTAGTAATATGTTTTACCCTTTTAACTGGCAACGAAACTGACACCTTTAAACAAGGGATCATGTTTGCATTAACCACAACACTTGCGGTCAAACACGTGAGTGTATTTTTACACATTGCAGTCATTGGGTGCAATAAGAGTGATTATCGCTAGCAATATCTTGCACTCCCCACTCTCCCGTCCCTCCCCTGCCCTTTCCTGACTCCCATGTTGCCCTGTGAAGTCACTCATTCTCGAACCCTCGCATGCCTTTGCCATTAATTCCTCAACGACTTGCCGTCTTCGTCCTGAACAGGACCCTGCGGGGTGGGCTGGTAGGAATAATACTTAGTACCGGTACAGAGATATCGACCGGGTATAGAGGAGTTAAAGAAAAAATTACTGTATTCTAGTGTAACGTTAATTAAAAGTGTTTGTTTTGACAAGAAACGCTGTGAGATTTAAAGACTCGTAGTCTTTCATTTCCAACACCACCCTCAACACCACCCCTCCCACGGACGGACGGACGGACGGACGGACACATTAATCTATTGGTGGTCTGGTCCACTTCGTTCCTACCAGTATAACTTTCATCCTCTCCCTTCCCAACCTCGCCCTCCCTTTCCCCATCATCACCCTCCCCCCTTGTCATCCCTTCCCGTTCCTAACCTGACCTCACGTCCCTCCCTATCATCACCCTCCCTTACCATCCCTTTCCCCCCCATCAGCCAAATAATAATTTACAATTTATAATTCTTGTAAAGCAATTTCACTAAATTGTTATACAAAATCCTAGACAAGTTGAATCGATATTTTTGTTGCCATCGCTTTTTAAACGGTGTAAATAAAGCGCCTTGATCCAAGGCGATCTAGAAAAACGCGCTGGGGAGATTCTTCAGGCAACTGCATCTTGCATGGCAAACTTTTTTCCCACCGTACGTAGCCAACCGTGCTAATCTCCTGCTTTCGTACGGCCGATGCCGATGCGGAGCAACTACAATTTCACATTCATGTGGCCGAGCCAGATAATCGCGTCAGGAGGAGCGGAGCGTATCGCTTCGATGTCTCCTTCGTATTTGTGGATCGGGCATCGCGTCACTGTGTTAAATCGGAGGTGCATCACATGGTCGGGTAGATTCTTCTGGAAACGGAACGCGCAGCGAAACGTCGGACAATGGTGCAGAGCAAGACGCGGTGCACAACCCTGATGACGCACGGGATAGAGTTTGTTCATCATCTGCCGACTCCCGGCCTTGGGATTTCAACTTGGCAATTCTCTTGCGATTGCGAGTCTCTTCTCTTGGATCACCACGTGGCCGATATAAACTGATGACTTCCCCAAAAAAGAGGATTTAAACAAAAATATTTTAAGATGAAAGGGTGCGAGCGAGGTCCTGGGATTTTGGAAACGCGACACGCAAAATGTAAACCACACGATAATAACCCACGCGCGACGCATTCTCACAAGCGCGCACACACACATATATATATAAACAATAAAACATTTATTTGTAAAAAAAATGACACCAATCTGCCCACTTAAATACAACATCGCAGAGCAGAGTACGTTACAGACCAGGGGCCGGGAGAACGTCCCTTCCCGACAGCGAAGTAAAAACGAGTCGAGGTGACGATCTCCCAATCCCAACCGGGGTTTCACGGCAGTGGCCCACACAGCCATCCCAAATGCCAAATTCTCTCCAGAGGACAACCACCGTTGCCCTCTTCTCCACAATGTGGTATGTATTTTACCGACCACCCCACCCCCCCTCTCGAGAGGATGATGGGGTTCAAACACTCCCCCACTCACAACCAGGATTTGAATTTTCAACCTTCCGATAAGAGGAGCCCGGTTGCTCTCCCCCCACCGAGCCGCAAGGCCGAATAGGACTTTCAGTTACCCGTCACACACAACTCGGCATTATCCAATACGGTCATCATAATAATGATGATGGCGAGGATGCAAAGAACAACCGCCGCGTTTACCAAAACGGACATGTGCACTAACTGCCCCTCTCGCCAACACGGTCACGTGGAGGGCAGGTGGGAGTGCAGGTGATGCACAAGTCGTCGAACTGAAGGAGTGCTCCGACCCACGACTTAAAGACATTCAACACAAATCTTTCAATGTAAAAAAAAAATCCAATTTCGCCCCCCCCCCTCTCCCAGTTGACATGCATCACACGTACACACACACACCGTCAATATTCACAACCACCAAGCAGAGACGAGCGAGACGAGTTCGTCGCTCGATTGCGTCTCACCAACTCGAAAAAAACTTTACGTTTCCCAAGCACGGAAGGTCACTTGGGGTGGGGGGGGGGGGTCATATGGAAACCACACGGGCGGAAAAGTGAGACTCAAAGTCCACCTTCGCCAAAACCCGCAAACGACCTTTCCCCGTTTGTTCGTTCGACTCATTGGCAGAGTATCCGCAAGCTTCCACGCCGCCTAGGATACCTCGCTACGTCCAAGACGGTTGGGCTTTGCAATGCAACACTGGCGCGTAACTGTTCTCCTTGCAGTTGAACGTGCTCGAGTTATCCGCCATTCACAACAAGTCTCCAGAGCCCGCTGCGACGCGCGCTCAAGTGCGCAAAAGTCCGCGCCGACGCCGCCGCCGCAGTTTACAAAGTTGGGACCTCGTCATTTTAATTTCCACGCAGTAAAAGGGGGGGGGGGGGGGGGAGAGAAGAAAAAAGCAAAGCAGTGAATCCGCATTCACACGGCTCTCTCGCGTTGCGCAAGTCTTCGGAGAAGACGAGCACTGAACGGCGGCGGTGACAACATCGGCGTCTACACGTCGACCCATCGATGTTTTTTCATCTTTCTCGCTTGACTGGCTACAACATCGAAGCAATTTCCTGCACGAACGACCATCAAGGCGGTGGTGCTTATCCACCCTCCCTACCCCCCGCCGTTTTGGAGCCTTGGTGCCAGTGTAGAAAATTCCTCATTCCTATGGCAGGGGGCAGGAGGGGGTGAGGCAAATCTATCCATATGAAACGAAGAGACTTCTCCGCAACGTGGTACTTACTTTATCGACCCCAGAGTGATGATGGGCCGTATATCGGTGTTTTTACGCAAAATACCGTATACACAGGAGTACCGCTCGTTTCACCAGACATTACTTGTTTTCTATCCCCCGACAGCTGCGAGTCCGTTCCTGGGTGGATTTTGTGTAGTTCCATTCTCCCCGTCTATCTCTCTGTTGCTCGTTCCCTTACACCAAGGGCACACGCGAGTTGCACGTGAAAAGAGTTGTGGCTGCCGCCGATGCCGTAGCTGCGCGGCAATCTCCGCAAAAAAATCTCGGCGACGTCGGGGGGGGGGGGGGCAACGCGCTCATTGGACCGATTCGAGGACGCCAGCACAACGTTCGTTCATTAAGCGGATACGGGTTTAGCACCACTGTAGGTTAATACATAACATATATATACCTTTTTTTAAATATATAATGTACACATACATTTACACGCACACGCGAACCGTAAAGGACTCGATCTCTTGCGCCTATTGCCGTAAATTACATCTTTTGTGGGGAAAGTCCCGTCGGCGAGCACCTATTTGTGGATTTGCAACGGCGTAGTGCGACCTGCCTTTGTCTTGCCAGCACCGATGTTCGTTTTGCGTTTTGCCCCGGTGGAGGGCGGCCATCGCGCGGTGGCTTTGCGCTCGGTGCTAACAAAAACAACAAATCCAGAAGGGGCTTTTTTTTTGGCTAGATCACGTAAATATAAATGCGTGCCGTCAAAACCCACCACCGCCTCAAACAGCCAATTAGTGAGGTTTGTCATGTAAACAAAATATGGCAATTCGTTATATTTTGTTGGTGATGGCGGGTTTAACGACATTCATATTTACGCGATCTAACACAAACACCTCTATTATGGATAGCATTGGTCACAAACGCCTGCTGCGTATTAAACAAAACAACAAAGTGAACATCGGTGGCAGGTTGCTTTTAGAACTTGTCCTGGGGCCTCCGCTTAGCCCCAGCTCAGCCTTCGATGAGTGCCTAGCACAGTGTGTCAATATGAGCAGTGTCAGCGCCGGGGAGATAAAGGCGACCATGCGTGGGGCGATGCTGATCGCAGCACTGTTCCCTTGTGCACCGTGCTGAACGTCATTAGGTGCTTGTAAACAGGACTTGGCCCAGGCGTTTATAAGGCTTTACAGAGGAATATATGTACACGCATACATACAGCCCGTAGAAGCCATTATATTACAGTCTCAGCAACACTGTACGCAGTTTTTTTACATTTTGTTGACTTTAAAAGGCAAAGCCTGGTTTGTACACACGGCTCCCTTGACAAACTATACCAGTCCCCTTGAGTGCACACATGAGTTCTGGTCGTGATTTATGGCGATCCTTACAAGTAGTACGGATATTCCTTTGTTAAATTATCTCGATTCCCGTTAAGAGTGTGCCTCCGGTCGCGACGGAATCAGAATCTTCATCTAGACTGGAGGAATCCGATGAGCTGCGTGGTTCTTTTTCACAGATGTCCAGCAAGTGAATCGACGCTCACTTCCGTACGACAAAGATGAAAATGCCGGCCTCAGACTCGCTCATCGCAACGACTTCCAGCAGCGACCGGCATGTCCACCTCGCGGACCTTCCTCTCGGGGTCGATGTTTGTTCGTCCCAGAAGCCTCTCTTTCTCGCACGGCGAGCCCTCGAACGTCATGTGGCAAGGCTCTTTCACAGCAATGTGTTTTTACATCGGCACTGCAGCCAGAAGCTTAACAAAAAAGGTATTAATTCTGTAAACTTAAAGTCAGTTTGATTCGTGGTAAACACATTCTTTTTTTACAAATGGAGAGGGTATGGCACTGGTACAACATCATCACCCCCGCCATCACCATCATCATGGACCATCGCTACATTTTCCTTTCCATATTTTTTCACGAGAGGGCAGGAGAAGCAGCAGCAGATGCGTGCGAGCATTTCCCACTCGGCAAACACCACATTGGGTGACAGGACGCACCGCCAGAGTCCCGAAAGGACACGGGCTCGTCCCGCGAGACAAAGGCAACGCTTCGCCCACTCCTCCCCCCGACCGTCCCCCTGTGCAGTCTGACAAATTAATTTTCGAGACTCGGATGTTACGAATGGATCCAGAATTGTCGCTTGGTGCGTCGGTTGTGTCTTCACACAAATCCTAGCACCTCCCCGCCACCGAGTGATTTGACAGGTTATCACGATTCACGAAATTCGAGCTTCCACTCGATCGTCAAGTTTTTCTTTTTTCGGCGGCGTCGTCATTCCTGCGTCCATCCGTGCGCCCCCATCGGTCCCGACCACCACCACCACGCGTGTAACGCGAACTCGGCGCACCGCTCGTACGCAACTGGCGGCGGCCGGCACGCCTCTCGAAGCGTGGGAGGGTCGGTGTGGCCCCGGGGCTCACGAGCGCGCCGGCTCGCGCACGCTGCTGCTGCGCCGCGGAGCGACTTTGCGGGGCTTGATCTTGACCGACAGCTCCCACAGGGCCTCCTCCGACAGGTGGTCACCAAAGTAGTTGAAGAACGCGATGATGGTCTCGCTGCGCTTCAGCTGGTACCGGCTGCAGGGCGCCAGCAGACGACACGGTTGGAGGGGACGGTGGGTGGAAGGGGGGTTGTGGGAGTGTGGGGAGCCAGCGGTGATCAGACACAGAGTCAGTGAAACACGGAAACTTCAAAACATATTTATCAGGGGCAACTGTTATAAGATTCATTCGTTTTATCTGAGAGTTGGTGAATCACAGATATGCCCACCCAGCCACCGACCTAGCCTCCACCCACCCACCTCGCTGCCCGCCCACTCACCCAGCCGCCCAGCCACCCAGCCGCCCACCCACCGGTGTATGTGCAAAACAATGCTTGGCTCACTCACCAGCGCTGGAATCGATGCACAGTGCTGAGAATGGAGAACTGGTGCCAGCACTTGGCCACGTTGATTTTCCCGTCGATGGTGTCGGGGTTTCCCAGGTGGGCAAACGTGAGGTCCTGGAGAACCAGCCCACTGTACAGAAAACAAAAAGGCAAAGGTCCCCCGTATAGCCTTCAGAAGACTGTTGGGGCAAGTGCCGTTAGCGAGTAGCACCTACGAATTTCCGGTTTCCGCACAAAAAGCTGTGGATGGCCAGCAGTACGCAAGGCCACTTTTGTATCGGGAGTGCCGATGTTTCATACACAACCACACCAGCTACTCATTTATGCTCGAGCGGACCTCTCGGAGGCCCACGACTGCTTCAGATATTGGACACTCATGACTAGCTGCGGACAGGAATCGAACTCGGGTTGTCGGATTTGTAGCACTCCTGGGAAGAACGGCCAATGTAAGAATAATTTAGTTTCATTTAGTATTACCGCCATTCTTCAAGCGCAATGCTATCACGAAGGTTTCGTGTTTGTGTGTACAAACACGGGCGACTACTTTTACCAGAACATCATGGGATCTCTACCGTCGTCCGCTGTGAAGCAAACGGCACCTCTGTTATGGTTAACACACCCACAGCATCAACCGGGGTAGGGTGAGGGGAAGGGCAGGGTGGCGCAGAGTGGGGTGGGGTTAGGTGGGGCAGGGCGGAGCCGGGTGGGGCGTGACAGAGCAGGGAGGAGCAGGGCGGGAGGCGGAGCAGAAGCAGGGCAGGGTGGGGTGGGGGGGAATCCCGTCCACTCACAGGTAGGGGATCCAGAGTGGGGTGGGGCTAGGTGGGGCTACGTAGGGTGGGGCTAGGAGGGGTGGGGCTAGGTAGGGTGGGGCTAGGTAGGGTGGGGCTAGGTGGGGCGGTGCAGGGCAACTCACAGGTAGGGGATGCATGGCGGCTGAGCGTCGGCGAGCTCCGCTCGGTAGGCGCGGAACGATGACGAGCTGTCCATGATGCTCGTGTGCTCCGCCAGCCGCTGCACGGAGATAACCCCACGGCCCCCGTCACTTTACACACAATATGTTTGTACGCTCATCCTTCCGCATTGCACATAGAAGGGCTGAAAAGTCAGCCGTTGTGTACATACAGTAGACTCTCAATTATCCGAGTAGACCACGGTTCGCATCGGTGGTCCTGGGCCTCCCCTAGGTCCACTCGGCTTTAAAATGAGCACCTGAAGCGGCGAGTATAAATATCAGCACTGGGGAGACGAGTGGTTGGCTGCGGTGCCGGTTACACCGATTGCACCACCTTCACGGGTGTTAGTCGGCGTTGACCGACAGCCTCGTGTCCCAAGAGTCTGCCTGGCGAAACAAGCGACCACCGTGTCAAACGCATTACCTCTCTCGTCTGCTTGTGCCAGTCCAGTCTGCGGATTGGCACCGAGTCAGCGGCCGACAGGATGGCGAGGTACGAGTTGAAGTTGTTCAGCTTCCGGAGGCACTGCGCCCCAGAAACATTGTCAACGTCAGCCATCGTCCACATCCTCCACATCGTCATCCTCCATCATCGTCATCCTCCACATCGTCATCCTCCAGCATCGTCATCGTGAATATATCAACCCCCCCATGAGCACCAACATAGGCCACCAAGCAATCATGATCTTGCCACCATCACCAATTCAACAACCAACCACCACCAATTCAACCACTACCAATAACGTCATAAATATCAGTGACGACCGTCATCATAGCTGCAATCTGTTATTCATGATGATAAAAACATTGTATTATCATCATCAGCCTCAATATCATAAATATATTATCAATTGCCACCATTATCATAATCACCAATTACTTTAAATCGCATTGACAACCATTCACCATCATTACCATATTTTTATGGAAAGGAGAAATAAAAAAAACCCCAAACCCAGCACAAACCTTGAGAATCTTGACGAATTTAATCAGCATTTTCTCCCGATCTTGTGCCCTTTCATGCTGAATTATGATCGAACGAACCCTGGAGACAAACAAAACAAGATCAGTTTCAATTTTCCCTTCATCTCCTCCTCTCTACATCAGCTCGAGCTTCCTGTAAATCACGTGGATTCTGTGTGACCAACCCCACACTGAACCCCTCCCATCTATGGATCACTATCTCGCTCTCTAAATCAGCCGAGCCTCCAGTAAACCACGTGGCGTTTGTGTATTTCCACCCTGACTCTGATCCCCCCCCCCCCTTCTCTCCACCACTGCCCGCTGTGAAAACAAGACGCTGCTCCTTCTCCATGCAGCTCCATTCTGCCTTGCTCCTTCCTTCTCTCTTCTCCCTCTCTTCCATACCCTCTCATGACCATCATCACCACCGCCCTCTCATCATCAGCACCGCCTTATCATCATCACCAACCTCTCATCATCACCATCATCAACGTCTCATTATCACTGTCATCTCATCATCATCATAATCATCACAGCCCACTCATCATCATCATCACCACATACCTCTCGTCATCATCAGCGTCCTCTCATCATCATCATCACCACCCTCTCGTCATCATCCCCAACATCTTGGCCTGGTCATTCTTCTCCCCCTCCTAACCTTCATTCCCATTGTTCCGCTCTTTTTCCACTTTCCCAATCTGCATCTTCACTCTCAACTTTGGCACTTTTCTTTTTCCATACGGTCTATCCTTGACGGCTCCACTTCCCGTGTTGTGCCAAGGTTGTATTTTCTTTACCACCATCGATCGCACCACGATCATCGTTAGGCTCATCAAGAGGTAACGCAGTTGACGACATCGATCTGATTGGTCAACATACAGTGCAAAAAGCCACGTCTTGATTTACACTTGTGTGTTCTGGAGCCGTAGGTATTAAGAGAAATCCGTGTTGGAGATTATTCTACTTGCATGCATCAGACGTGTACGCATTAACGCGGGATGCATCACAGGCGCGCGCATTAACATCGTGTGCATGAGGCGTGCGTGCGTGCGTGCGTGCCGTATCCCCCACCAGTAGGACACGGCGTTGAAGTGCTCTGTGAAGTGAGCCAGGTTCGGGCTCTGCTCCTCCGCCTGGTCACGCGCCCACATGAGCAGCTCCGGGATCTGTGAAGCCACGGAGATGCAGCAGCAACAACACGATCACTATCGTCATCGACCGGATTACAGGGGGCTAAATTGTACACGAGCATTGGGATAGAGGGGGCTAAATGGTACACGAGCGTTGAGAACTTGGACCAATCGGGCTGGCTTACCTCTACGATTCTTTCCAGGGGTTTAACCAGACTGGAGCTCGCAGAGCCGCAAAAGATATGGATACAGTCGCGTGCGCAAGCTCATATTGCAGACGGGGTTGTTGGTGGCTGGGCATGCGGGGGGGCTACAAGCTCTTATGGATGGTCAAGCAGCTTCTATTTAGCCCGATAGAGGGGGCTAAACGGGCACGGCAGGGGCTAGAAAAGAGATGGGCTGACACGATACAGGAGGATGCGGAGCCGATTGGACTTGCCGATGACCGGTAGCGGCAGTGTCAAGGTCGGCCTCTGTGGAGGCTCGAGAAGGACGCTACTAAGTTCGTTGGGAGGCAGCCGCCCTCCGGCAACAAGCGCCGCGGTAATGTCACCGTCCATCAGTGGTGAATGGCGGCACCTCGTGCCAGGCTAGGTGACGCGTGTCGACTGTCGCACCTGTATCTTGAGGAAGAGCTGCGAGTCGAGCAGCGTCAGCTGCTCCGCCAGCTCCTGGCTCGGGAAGTCGAGCAGCGTCCGTTTCCTGCACCGAGCGTCGCCACCATCACCACGAGCACCGCCACCACCACCGGTGCCGCACGCACATTGACAACACAGGACAGTGAGCGCGTGCGCGTGCGTGTGCGTGCTTGGACGAGACGCTGTGTGTGTGCGTGCGTGCCTGGGATGAGGCACTGTGTGTGTGTGTGTGCGTGCCTGGGATGAGGCACTGTGTGTGCGTGTGTGCGTGCCTGGGATGAGGCACTGTGTGTGTGTGTGTGCGTGCGTGCCTGGGATGAGGCACTGTGTGTGTGTGTGTGCGTGCGTGCCTGGGATGAGGCACTGTGTGTGTGTGTGCGTGCGTGCCCGGGATGAGGCACTGTGTGTGTGTGTGCGTGCCTGGGATGAGGCACTGTGTGTGTGTGTGCGTGCCTGGGATGAGGCACTGTGTGTGTGTGTGCGTGCGTGCCTGGGATGAGGCACTGTGTGTGTGTGTGTGTGCGTGCCTGGGATGAGGCACTGTGTGTGTGTGTGCCTGGGATGAGGCACTGTGTGTGTGTGCGTGCCTGGGATGAGGCACTGTGTGTGTGTGTGCGTGCTTGGGATGAGGCACTGTGTGTGTGTGTGCGTGCCTGGGATGAGGCACTGTGTATGTGTGTGCGTGCCTGGGATGAAGCACTGTGTGTGTGTGTGCGTGCCTGGGATGAGGCACTGTGTGTGTGTGTGCGTGCCTGGGATGAGGCACTGTGTGTGTGTGTGTGTGCGTGCCTGGGATGAGGCACTGTGTGTGTGTGTGTGCGTGCCTGGGATGAGGCACTGTGTGTGTGTGTGCGTGCCTGGGATGAGGCACTGTGTGTGTGTGTGTGCGTGCCTGGGATGAGGCAGTGTGTGTGTGTGCGTGCTTGGGATGAGGCACTGTGTGTGTGTGCGTGCCTGGGATGAGGCACTGTGTGTGTGTGTGTGCGTGCCTGGGATGAGGCACTGTGTGTGTGTGCGTGCGTGCCTGGGATGAGGCACTGTGTGTGTGTGTGCGTGCCTGGGATGAGGCACTGTGTGTGTGTGCGTGCGTGCGTGCCTGGGATGAGGCACTGTGTGTGTGTGCGTGCGTGCCTGGGATGAGGCAGTGTGTGTGTGTGTGTGCGTGCCTGGGATGAGGCACTGTGTGTGTGTGTGTGTGCGTGCCTGGGATGAGGCACTGTGTGTGTGCGTGTGCGTGCCTGGGATGAGGCACTGTGTGTGCGTGCGTGCCTGGGATGAGGCACTGTGTGTGTGTGCATGCGTGCCTGGGATGAGGCAGTGTGTGTGTGTGTGTGCGTGCCTGGGATGAGGCACTGTGTGTGTGTGTGTGCGTGCCTGGGATGAGGCACTGTGTGTGCGTGTGCGTGCCTGGGATGAAGCACTGTGTGTGTGTGCGTGCCTGGGATGAGGCACTGTGTGTGTGTGTGCATGCGTGCCTGGGATGAGGCAGTGTGTGTGTGTGTGTGCGTGCCTGGGATGAGGCACTGTGTGTGTGTGTGCGTGCCTGGGATGAGGCACTGTGTGTGTGTGTGTGCGTGCCTGGGATGAGGCACTGTGTGTGCGTGTGCGTGCCTGGGATGAAGCACTGTGTGTGTGTGTGTGTGCGTGCCTGGGATGAGGCACTGTGTGTGTGTGTGTGCGTGCCTGGGATGAGGCACTGTGTGTGCGTGCGTGCCTGGGATGAAGCACTGTGTGTGTGTGTGTGTGCGTGCCTGGGATGAGGCACTGTGTGTGTGTGTGCGTGCCTGGGATGAAGCACTGTGTGTGTGTGTGCGTGCCTGGGATGAGGCACTGTGTGTGTGTGCATGCCTGGGATGAAGCACTGTGTGTGTGTGTGCGTGCGTGCCTGGGATGAGGCACTGTGTGTGTGTGTGTGCGTGCCTGGGATGAAGCACTGTGTGTGTGTGTGTGTGCGTGCCTGGGATGAGGCACTGTGTGTGTGTGTGCGTGCCTGGGATGAGGCACTGTGTGTGTGTGTGCGTGCCTGGGATGAGGCACTGTGTGTGTGTGTGCGTGCCTGGGATGAGGCACTGTGTGTGTGTGCGTGCGTGCCTGGGATGAGGCACTGTGTGTGTGTGTGCGTGCCTGGGATGAGGCACTGTGTGTGTGTGCGTGCGTGCTTGGGATGAGGCACTGTGTGTGTGTGCGTGCGTGCTTGGACGAGACGCTGTGTGTGTGCGTGCGTGCCTGGGATGAGGCACTGTGTGTGTGTGTGCGTGCGTGCCTGGGATGAAGCACTGTGTGTGTGTGTGCGTGCCTGGGATGAGGCACTGTGTGTGTGTGCATGCGTGTTTGGGATGAAGCACTGTGTGTGTGTGCGTGCTTGGACGAGACGCTGTGTGTGTGCGTGCCTGGGATGAGGCACTGTGTGTGTGTGCGTGCGTGCCTGGACGAGACGCTGCGCGCCGACAGCGGTGATGCGGGCGGCACCGCTTGCTCGAGGCGCCGCTCCTCGGCCTTGGCGAGCACCGCATCACGCAGGCGCCGCGCGCCCCCCAGGTCCCCCCCGGAGAGCAGCGAGCAGCTCGCCTCCAGCAGCAGCGACAGCAGCTCACGCGACAGCTCCCGCGGGCTGTCGCAGCGGGTTGCAGGGGGTCACGTGGACGGGGGGGGGGTCACGGTTACGCTCGAGCAGTTGACCTTTGGGATTCAGCGTCGCTTTAAAAACGGAACTACGGCGGGCAACGGGGAACCGCGGAAGATCGAATGAGCAAGTTCGTGACGCTTCAAGTGTCAAACCGAGTCGGCCGTCGGCGCTCACCGTAGCTCCTGCACGACGCGCAGAGTCATGTGCAGCGTGTCTCGTCCAATCAGCTCCTCCGCTCCCGAAGCGCGGCAAAACTTGGCAAGCGTGGGCGGTGACGAGTCAAGGCCTTCATCATTCTCGCCATCATCATCATCCTCAATCCATCATCATCGTTATCCAACATCTTTTTAACTGGTAACGCGCACAGAATTATTTGAGGATACCACATTGGCAGTTGGTGCATGAGCACAAATAACGGGAAACTCGCTTTAGTTAATAACGCCGCGGCCTTAAAGGGGAATTAAATATTAAATGGGTGACGTTGCGGGCAATGGCTGTCATCTGTGCGCCACGGTGGCGAGATGTTAACTAACTCTCCTGGTTCAAGGGAGGTCATGAGTTCGATCCTGACCCAGATGCCTGTATATTTGGAGTTTTTCTCTCCACATTTAGAATCAACAACATTCGTTTATAGAGTATTCTGCTGCTATTCATGTCCACGCCACAATGAAGCCACTTTGTTGTGCTATTATTTGTGACGGTCGGTCACTTCTGAAAGGAGCTACGTAGCTCAGTGGGCCCTACCTCGTAAAATAAAAAGTTTAGTATAGATTTAGTGCAAGAAGGGTAATTGCCCAAAACAGCTCTTATTGCTATTTTAACAGCCAGTCTTATTGACGAACGTGTGAGGTGTGACACAGGGTTCTCAAACTTAGCAAGAGGACTCGGCAAACAAACACAAAAACAAACCCAATGACGTGAAATTAGTTTTTTCCACTTTATTTACTGAAATTCCAACTTTAAAAAGCCATATAAAAGTTTACTAAATACAATCTATCCACATATATGTTGTTTTTTTCTCTAGTCCATCCGCTTACACACCTTCTGAACTAATGATCAATAAGAGCATTCGCTTAGTGTATACACATTTTGGACTATGGCCCTCTTAAGGTGCAAAGGTTATTGATGAACGTGCCAAGTTTGCCATTCACTCATTCATCACCAACTGCCAATTGACCAACGGCTCGCCGCTGGAACCAGGCTCGATTGAGCGACGGAGCGAGCGGTGAGAGCTTGAGCGGTCGGTAAGGATATCGGAGCAGCAGCTTCTGCAACAGCTCCTTGGGCGAAAGGAAGGAGCGGTACGTCATGAGGAACACGTCCCGGAAGCCAGCTGCGTGAGATGGGACGTAGAGCGGCGTGTGGAAACATCCCATAGCCAGCAACAACAGAGTCACCACCACCACCGCCGTCACCACCGACACCACCACCAGTCACAATCACCGTCACCATCATCGTCACCACCAACACCACCATCGCCAACAGTCACCACCACCATGGCTAACCCCAACAACTACCACCACATCACCACCACCATCATCACCTACAGCCATTGCTACCACCAATACAAAGACAATCATCGTCACCATGGCTAAAGCCAACGCTACCACAGCAGCATCAACAACAACCGCCATTCGCCACTAAGTGGCGGTGACGTCACCACGGCGCTTGTGCCACCACCACAGCCGTCACTACCACCAACAATACAACGCTGCCTGCTGCACGTGTTTGATCTACCCCCCACCGCCACCCCCCCCAAAAAAAAAAAAATCACGGCCACGGTGAGCGCAGGAAGTGAGCGACGCGGGGGGCGGGGGGGGGGGAGTTGGGCCGTCGGGCCGCTTACCGCTGCCCTCCACGGTGGCGTAGACGAGGAGCGAGTTGACGTAGCCGCCCCTTAGGTTCGGCCCGTCCTCTCCCTGCAACGCGAGAGGATCGTTCGGCTCGGTCATTGTCATTTTTTTAGTTTTTGTTTGCGCCAGCGATTCGCTCGGTTCTGCCCGGTCGCTCGTTGCCGCGCGCACGCCAGCATTTGCTCGAGCAGGCGGTCGCGGGACTACGCACGCCTGTCACCCAAGCACTGCCCGAGGCGAGGGTTGGCGGATCGCACGGGTGTTGTTGAAGCTGCCTTCCCCGTGGACGTCGAGGACGAGCCCGTGCCCTGCTCGACTCCTGTACGGGGATGGAGCGTTGCTTCCCCCCCGCCCCTCACCTGCATGGGGTTTTCTCCGGGTGGTACGGGTTTCCTCCCAATTCATAACTCATCAGTAATTGGTCTCTGTGTCAGTGTGCAGGTCTCTATGCATGTCTGTGCATCATTGCGAGTATGTGGGTCTCTATGTGAGCCTATGGGTCTCTATGTGCGAGTATGCGGGTGTCTATGTGAGCCTATGGGTCTCTATGCAAGCCTATGGGTTTTCTACGCGAGGGTATCGGCGTCTATTGCGAGTCACAGTGGTGACATGACTGAAACCATAAACTCACTACACTTGAGAAACCGGATTAATCACGGACAGCCGAAACCTGGATTCGACCCCAGGATCTCAGCGCCCTGACCTCTGCGTGACCCGGTGACCTCCCTCACCTCCTTCTTGAAGACGAGCCCGGCGTGCAGCTCCGTGAAATCGGTGACTGAGAGCGCTCGAGACTCTCCCGTCACCTCCTCGCGCTCCAGCGTAAACACCTCGTCGTTGGCCGCCTGAGTCCTATTGCGGTACAATTCCACATCGTCATCATTGTCGTCATCTTCATTGTTATCAACGTCAAGACCGCCATCATCGTCGTCGTCGTTAACATGACCATAGTCATCATCACCATCATCGTCGTCGTCACGAGCAGAAACGTCATCCCCATTGTCACCGCTGTCGTAATCATCGTCACGAACAGAAACATCATCATCATCATCGTACTCTTCATCATCGTTGCACATGATTGACTGCGTGAGCGCAACAATTGAAATTAAACGATAAAGTGATGCATCGTTAAAGCCCTACATCGACCATCATCCTCGTCATCATGACAGTTGACTGCCGATCCATCTCTTCTTTCTCCCCATGAGTGGGGGGGGGGTGGGAGGACGGGGTGGGTGGGCGGGTAGAGCAGGTGAACTCACCCGGGGCTATCGGGGTCGCCAAAGGGTCGACCTCCGGACGCAACGAACCGCTCGCTTGGAACGACCGGTGGACAGACCTCCGTCACAATCACCATCTGCGTCACGCACAGACACACACACAATACAGATGGAGGATTCGTCCACACTTCGCTGCACCACTCCCTTCTCCTGCCCACCCCAGGGGTATACAGCCTCTTCCTCGACCCCCGCGTAGAAAGGGGAGTTTCGCAACATCTTGTGCGATTGATCCACCAACCCTCCCTCGCCGTGCCCTCCTCTCGTAGCGCCGGATTGGAGGCAGCCGCGTCGCGGCGGCGCGAACCGCCAACCCGCGGACGCTCTCGTGTCCGCCGCAACCGTGCGAACCGATCGTCCTCCGGTCGCCGGACCTCGTCGCCACTCACGGTTTGCCGGCGCTTTGGCGGCAGGGCTGGCGGCAAGGCCGAGCAGGCGAAGAGCGGCGACGCCGAGGGGGAGGAGAGTGGCGAGGGCAGCGGAGACGAGGGGCTGAACGGCGCGAACGGTGTCGGAGGTAGCTGAGCAGAGCTCGATACGGGCAGCGCGTAGTCGGACAGCAGCTGCATGTAGGTCTGGACTGCGAGCCCACGGCAGGATCACACAAAGACAACGAACCCCCGGTGTAGCCTTTAAGCGGACTGTTGGGGCAAGTGCCGTTAGAGTGAGTAGCGCCTACGATTAGCATGGTTGGCTAGGTAGGGTGCGAAAGACGTTCAACATACATACACCTATGAAGGCTGGCACAAGGCAATCGAGGTAGTGGGTGGCCAACACCTCGCCTGGCCGCCTTTGTCTCCCCGCCGCTGATGAGCACTTGCTCATAGGCGGCAGAGGCATGCTTTCTTTGACACTTTCCGACCAAGTCAACTATCCAGAAACCATCGTGGACAAAGACGAGACTGACGTTCCAGTTGTCACCCCCACGGACGGACACGAGGTAACCACCGCTCTACGGGATTCGATTCGACGTTAAGTTCACTTGTCGCATGTGGTAGGTTATTTCATTTGGTAGACTTTGTTTGTGTGGTGCACACTCCTCCCCCCACCCCCGACCCCGGCTCACTCTTGCTCTTCTTCTGCGGCAGCGGCGGCGGCTGCTGCGCCGGCTCCACCGAGAGCTCGTGCGGGAACAGCTCCTGCTGCTGCCGCTGCTGCAGCTCCCACGGCGGCTGCGGCGCCAGCTGCCCGAGCGGCGTGAAGATGCCCGGCGTGAGCGCGGCCTCCGACGTGGACGCCGGCGGCGAGGACGACGACGGATCCTCCGCCTCCTCCTCGCGACACGCGGCGAGGAGGACGGAGGAGGAGGAGAAGAAGGCCGGTGGCGGCGCCGCGGCCAGTCCCGACGGAGCGAGCAGCAGCGCCGACGGAAGCGACGCGCGCCCCGTGTCCGACGCTCGCCTCTTCTTCTGCGGCAGCTGCGGAGGCGGAGGGCCGCCGCCGCCGTCGTATTCGCCGCCGTCGTCGCCGCCGCCGCACTGCGTTCCTGCCGGCGGCGGACGGTCGCCCTCTTCGCTCCGCTTCGCGTGACGGGGCGGCGGTGGTGGCGACACGGACGGCCGACCCGAGCGGCTGCGGTTCATGGGAAGGGTGGCAGTGGCGCCGAGGTCGTCGCGGTGGTGGTGGTCGTCGTCGTTGTGGCGGTGGCGGCGGCGAGGGTAGGAGGGATACACCGGCTCGGAGAGAAGCAGCGGACCCTGCTGCAAGGGGACAACGTCACGGGCGGACGGGAAATTATCACCAGCAGCAGCATCATCATCATCAGCAGTCATTTGGTGAAATACCACATCTGCCCACCACTACCCAAACTGGCTCAACTCTTTGTTCAGAAGAAGAGACATGGCCTAAACAGAAAGAGGCCAAGCACAACGGGGAAGGAGTAGGGCCTAAAAGTGAACAGCCCTGTTGCTCTCACGTGACTAAAGAACACAAGAGGATAAACACACGTGCACAGCAGGCAGCATGGCTTTAGTGCCGCAAATGTGCACCCTCCTATTGGCACGGTTGGCTACGTACGGTGCAAAAGTTCAACATACAGTAGTCCTTCGGTGAACTGTAACATCAGTTGTAGATTTTTCGGTTAACGTTTCGCCTCCCCATAGGACCACCCCATGGTTTCGACGAACGTTAGCATTTTGAATCTAGATTTGAACTTTTCGTGACTGCAGGGATCCACTCTTTGGTAAAATCGGCAGTTGTCCTGCTGTATCGGTTCCGCCTGATGACGGTCGCTTGTGTTGCGATCGAAACGTCGTAATTTAATTTATTTTATACCCACGTGACTTTACTGAAAGAACCAATGAGTATGTTAACATTTTGATTGACGGTACGTTTACGTTATGCACGCGGTCGCCAATTTTAGCCAATCAGAGCGCTCGTAAGTGGGGCCGAGCCATGCCCTTAGCCAATCAGTGATGCCCATTTATAACCGTTTAGACCTCGACTGGCTTTGTTCGCATTACGTTTTCTGTTTTGGCAGTGGAAACAGCTCTCTTGTAGACTTATTTTTCAACTTATAAGCGAATTCGATTAACAGTTATTTCGGTAGTGCACGTGGAACGGATTTAAAAACGTGAAGCGAGGGACTACTGTACGTACATGTGACCACATGACCAGCGGTTGAGCTAAAGAGCTCTTTTGTCAAGGGTGAGCCCCACGGGCGAGACGGGAGGGGTAAGAGGAGGATGCAAAAAAAATGTTAAACGTCACAGCGATGCAATCTGAAAGGGAAAACCCATCACAACAGCAGCGGCACATAAAAAACAAACCTAGAAACACCCGTTCAAACGTAACTTAACAGGGAATTGAAATACATTCAAGGGGCAAATTAAAACCGCGAATTCGGAGTGAAACAAATGCACGACGAACCAACAGATGGCAATGAAAAATTTGCAGCGTCACTTTATAGGTCACATTCCCGGTGGAATTGTTTTGCTCATTGTTAACGTGGCCATCGAAATGAGCGACTACTGCTTGGTGTTATCTTGGTGTGCTCTGGGACTGTTAGTTGTTGTTGATACTGCCTTGCCCAATCTTGATAAATCACACCTATACAATTGCATTATATTTAGCGATTTGCTTACCTTTTCTCTATTTCGCACTCCTATCGTTGGGTTTTTTGTGCATTGTTGGCTGCTGTAACTTTTATGACCACTTGCGCCGACTGGACATCCGCGAAAAAGAGCTTCATTAGCTCATCGGATTCCTCTCCCAATCTAAACAAAGATTCTGATTCTGTGTAGCATTGGTGCGTTTGAAGGTGGTGGTCAGAGATAAATTGATGTGTGGGGAATATCTTTTGGCCATGGAGTTATTCCCTCTAGATTTGAAGTTTTCGTGACTGCAAGGATCCATACTCTTTGGTTCTTTCGGTAAAGTCACGTTAGGTAAAATAAAAAGAAAATAAATTAAATCACGACGTTTTGGGCGCAACACAAGTGCTCGTCATCAGGTGGGACCACCACAGCCAGAAGCAACTGCTGGAATGGGTAAGAGAGCTGCAGTGAAACAAGACGCTATATAAATAAGAGAGGGGGGGGGGCAGAAGCCACGGAGGAGATACATGACTTTACCAAAAGAACCAAAGAGCATGGATTTTTTGTTCATTTTTTTTACCCAGATCATAATTACGAGTCGCACACCGCTCATCGTCACTCGCGGTAAGCCTCCGGTTCATTCCGGTGAAGGTTGTTCACACGATCGTTGTCGTCGGTCTACCTGCGCTGTACGTACGTTGAACTTCTTTCGCACAGCACGTAGCCAACCGTGCCAAATCGGAGTGTGCGGGTTCGTCTCACATTTTTTCCAATTTCATTCTTCTCACCGTCAACTCCGAGGGCGACGATTTGAAACGGTTGTTAAAAACGGACGAGGGCGGACCGAGGAGGAAAAACAACATTCCTACAATTACCTCCTCCTCTTGCTGCTGATGATGTCTGTGCCAGGCAGGCAGGGTGCAGCACCCGTCGCACGGAGGCAGGAACTCCGGCATGGAGCACCCATCGCTCTCCAGGTCTGTCACACGAGCACACAAAAGATAAAGACCCACCGTGTAGCCTTAACAGACTGTTGGGGCAAGCGCTGTTGGCGAGTGGCAGCACCTTACGAAGGAAGGCATCACCACACCGTACAGCCATTGTTTCCCCTGTGCTGATGTTTAACACACACCGCACTAAGTACTCATTCGAGGCCGGGTCGACCTAGGGGGAGGCCCAGGACCGGTTTAGATATTCGCCACCAATGTTGAGGGCAGGAATCGAACCGGGGTCACCAGGTTCATAGCGCCGTACGCGCTAGCCGCGACGCTACGTGAGAACACACACTTGTCAGACAAACCCAGATATCCACTGCTGGATGAATATTTCCCCACCCCGTGTTGGATTGCTCGGGGATTTGGAGCAATGGTTTGCTCACCGTGCTACAAACACCCGCAACCTGAGTTTAATTCTCAGCCACGGCTCGGTGGCAAGGGATAATCTAACCTGGTTCTGGACCGCCAACTTCACCAATTCACCCTGATCAGTTCGATAGATGATATTCAATTGAATCCACGTAAGAGCCAATTGAGATAAGCAAATTTGTTTAGGTGAATTAAGTGCAGTTTACGTGGTGCTGGCTAAGTTAACCTCCTGAGAGAGACACCAAGAACCCAGGGCCTAAAGCCAATATCTTGCCAGTGTGCTGCTTTTGTGTGTTCGGCACGGCCATCATGAACCTCATGAGATAAAATCATCAAGCCTCAGGGTTTGAAACCCAGATTATTGTGAAGCTTGCTCAGGAAACTCAAACACAGCCATTACGAACTCGTTCAGAGACAGACATCCACACACACACACACCCGAGATCATAGGTTCTGGCTCAGAAGTCTCCGATATGGCCATCATGAGCCCCTTGAGAGAAAGACAGACACCCAGCCCCTCGAGCTTTAACCCAGGATGGCAGCAGTGCAGGCCCGATGCCTCTCAACACCTACTTGACTTTCCTACCACCAAACTCCTGAGCCCCCCCCCCGACCCGACCACACCACAGTGCGCGCGAGCGTGGGAACGCACCGAGCAGCTCGATGCTGGTGTGCAAGGCCAGCACGCCGGCGCCGCTCCTTGGCTCGTCGGCGCCCGACACCAGCAGCTCCTCCGAGCGACTCCACGTGCCGCGCATCTCCAGGGGTGCCGCCGCCAATGCCGGCGACATCGCCGCCGCCGCGGCTGCCACCGCCGGCGTCGCCGACGTCGGCGCCGGAGGAGGAGAGACGAGGGGCGACTTGCTGAGCAGCGCCGGCAGGGTGCAGCACCGCGTGGAACACGGCGCCTCCTGCTGCGCCGTCGTCGCGCGAGCGGCGCACGCACGCACAAACACACGGTGCTAAACGGGCACAAGGGGTAAGGAGCAACCGCGTGCGTACGCCACGCATCGTGCGTCGTGTACCCATTTTTGTTCATCCTGTTCGCGGCAATTGTCTGCCGTGGGCTTTCGTGTAAATCCATAACATTTACTCAAATTGTAAATGTTGTGGGTTTACTCTCCAACAAACCGGTGAGTGCTGAACTAGTAACTAATGGGCACGTTGTGTTTACGTGACAAACCTTGCTAATTGGCTGTGTCGGGTGGTGGCGGATTGAACAACACGTTTGTATTCACACAATATAACCCCAAAAAAAAACGTTATTACAAATGATCTGTTGTTGTGTTTTGCTCTCGTGCCTCTGCGCCTTCCCTCCACCCATGTCGCTGCCACCACTGCCGTGCGTGCCAGCGCCAACGCCCAGACACCGCACAAGGTACTCACTCGAGGCCGAGTCGGTTTGGATAACCTCCACTGGATGTTGGCCTCGAGCGGAAAATCCAAATCAAGTGGGTGGGGGGTGCGTAACGCGGAGCGATAACCACCACACGACTGCTCCCCCAAGTATGCAAAAACAGCAACAACGACATACACATATAACATCACACACACATACACACATATAGATCCCCCCTATAGCCTCAGGAGATCACAGGGGCAGGGGCCGCCCAGACGGGCAACTGGATCCGAGCCCAGATATCTCAGCGGTCGCTGGCTCAACCCTCTTTGACCATCCCCCGGCCACCTCGGTGCAGCGTTATTAATTCGGCGACGGATTTTTAGTTGTTGTTCCTGCCAGACTCACCGAACAGCTGACGACGCCACCGTCGCGGGGAAGGCTGCCCCCCACGGGGCGGCACATGGGCAGCACGGTGGCCACGGGCACCAGGGCGGTGTGGCCCGCGACGCGCCTCGCGAACAGGCTCACGCTGCACGCGCGCACACACACAGGGCAAACCTCCCATCAGCTCTCCCGCGCACCTTTGATTAGCTCCCCCGCACCTCCAATTAGCTCCCCGCGCACCTCCAATTATCTCCCCGCGCACCGCCAATTAGCATGGTTGGCTATGCACTTCCTCTCCGCTCCCTTCGCCCTTCCACTCCTTTCCGTACCCTCCCCTAAAGCAATTTTTGTGACCCCGGCGTGCCCTCTGTTGCAGACACTCATTCCTCGGCTGTTGCACCTCTCCCAACCCGCCCCCCCCCGGCCGTGTAAAAAAATAAATTGATGTTTCCGTTACCGCTTTTTAAAATCTTCGGTTAGGCACAAATGTGGGCAAAAAGAGACCAGCGCAACGATTAAATGAAGAAACGGATGGGGCACGGTTGGGGGTGGGGGGGGGCTCACCTGGGCACCGTGAGGGCGGTTGCGGAGAGGAAATCGGGGGGCCGCGGCCTGGGAGGTTTGGGTGGGGGGCCCGGTCCGACGTCCGTCTCCAGCAGCACCCCCAGGGAGAGGCTGTGCTGCGTGGGGAGCGTGGCGGAGCGGTCCAACGTCGGCTCGGCGGCGTCCGGCCTGCGCGCCGAGGGGTCGCCGCGGACATGAGCGATGGGGGGAGGGGGGGCGGGGGACGTGAGAACGGACGAGGGGCGTACTCATCGTGGCGCGAGGTGCGTGGTTACACGACGACAAGAGCTCGAGTCTTGAATTCAATCGCGGGCCGGAATCGTGACGATTCATCGAATCGCGCGGAGAGTTAGGGGAGAGAGCCCAAGGGAGGGAATGCGCCGCCCGAAAGGATGCTCCACCATGGAGATGGACAGAGGGGGTGGACAGGCGACAGGTCAGACAGGGAGACAGAAGCAGACAGCCATACGGGCATACAGGCTGGCAGACGGAGATACAGGCAGAGAGAGACAGGCAGAAAGAAAGACAAGCAGACACATAGGCTTGAGAGACAGACAGATAAATACACAAGCAGGTAGGGAGGTGGGATGGCCGAGCAGAGGACTAAGAGAAGGACAGACTGGAAGACTGAGAGACAAACAGAGATGCAGACAAACGCAGTCAGACACAAAGACAGACGGGCAGAGCGAAGGATGGTCGTGCCGAGAGACAGGCCGGTTGAAAGAAGAACAGTCGGACACACGAGAGACAGAGACTCGCGCAAACCGAGCGAGCGCCAATACCCGTGCGCTGTCAGCGAGCGTCCGTCCACATCGTCCGCAGGGGGGGCGTTCTCCTCCTGCTTCTGCATCACTCGGAGCAGCTCCTGCAGTCGGGCACGACAACGGAACAACGCGCGCTCAGCAGGCCGCATTAGGAAGTATTAAGAAATTGTTGGTGCCGGCTCATCGCATGGCTGCCTTCCCAGCTCGTCTGCGGTTCCCCTCCACGTGCCACTTTGAGTCGTCCTCTCTCTCTCTCTCTCCTTTTGAGAGTGAGCGAATAATCCATGCAGCGGCGCCGTGTTACAAACTTGAAATTATTCAACATTTAATCGAGGACTAAAGTTGCATGTACGAATGTTCAACTTCTTTCGCACCGTACATAGCCAACCGTGCTAATCGGCGGTGCGGGTGGGAAGGACAACAAGCTTAACACAAAAATCTGTTCTGAAGAAATCAGTTTTCAATGTAGACGACTTTAAAGTGAATAGCACCAGTGGCTTCCTAATATCCGATGGAAAAGCATTCCAGACGGCCGCAGAAGCGCGTGCGCGGATTTTCTCCGGGTGCTCCAGGGTCACTGGGGGCATGGGGTGGGGGGCAGGGGGGGTGGGGGCCGGCGTACCCGCAGGCTGTCGGACACGCGCTGCGTGACGGCGAGAGCGGCCGAGTGTTCGGGGGGGCGGCCCCCCACCAGCAAGCGGTCCGAGCAGCGCGCCAGGTCCGTGAGCGAGCGGTACACTCGCCGCTCGCGCCACGCTACCTCCGGGCTGCTCACACACACACACAAAGACAAAGATCCCCCCCCCCCCGTGTAGCCTGTAAAGGACTGTCGGGGCAAGTGCCGTCAGCGAGTAGCGCCTATGAAGGCTCGGCACGGCACACGAGGGGGTGGGTGGCAAGCACCACATGCCCGGCAATGTTTATACACCGCACTAGGTCGTGATTTTGAAGCCGAGTCGACCCAGGGGAGGACACGGACCGGTTCAGATAATCGTCACTGGTGTTGGCCGTGAGCGGGAATTGAACCCGTGTCACCGGGCTTGTAGCGGAGTGCAATAACCACGACACTACCGCTCGCCACTGCACAATAAACAAACATCTCCATGTAGTCTATGGGGACCTCATTTGCCAGTAAAAATATGATAATTGGTTCTTTACCCTTCTATCTGGCAACAAAACTGACACCTTTTTGCAAGGAGTCATGTTTGCATAGACCGCAATACCTGCAGTCATAATACAAACAAAAGAACATAACTCTGATAATGTGCACTGTCCTTGAAGTTGATTGGTCCACACCCGAGACAGCTTTCCTTCGAGCCTAGTCTCATATGGGTTGGACCAGAAGACGCCAAAAGGCGCACAACTCAAGGACAATGCACCATCAGAGTATGAGAGCTCGGGGTAAGCATCTACACTATGGGAACCTCATTTGCCAGCAAAAATATGATAATTGGTTCTTTACCCTTCTACCTGGCAACAAAACTGACACCTTTTTACAAGGAGTCATATTTTTGCTGGCAAATGAGGTCCCCATAGTGTAGATGCTTGCCCCGAGCTCTCATACTCTGATGGTGCATTGTCCTTGAGTTGTGCGCCTTTTGGCGTCTTCTGGTCCAACCCATATGAGACTAGGCTCGAAGGAAAGCTGTCTCGGGTGTGGACCAATCAACTTCAAGGACAGTGCACATTATCAGAGTTATGTTCTTTTGTTTGTATTATGACTGCAGGTATTGCGGTCTATGCAAACATGACTCCTTGCAAAAAGGTGTCAGTTTTGTTGCCAGATAGAAGGGTAAAGAACCAATTATCATCTCCATGTAGTCTTAACAGACTGCTGGGGCAAGTGTTGTTAGCGTGCACCCGTGCAGGCCGGCACGGTTGCCCACAAGCCAAAGCAGAGGAAACGCACGCGAAAACAGTGGGAGAACGCACACACACACACACACAGACTCCAGACAGAGAGAGACATGCCCGAGGTCGGGAATCGAAGGCAGGAAATTTCACTCCCCAGTGCCCAACGACCGACAGAAGCTATGAGCCTACGGCTGTCATCACCGCTTCAGGGGTTTGTATGCCAGGGACCAGTGAAGTGGAAAGGGGGTACGGGGGGGGGGGGAGCACTCCCCAACCTGAGGGGCTGGGGCGGCAGGCCGGAGAGAAGGCTCCAGACGGCCTCCAGCACCCGGCTTGCCGTGCCCGGCAGCAGCTCCAGGACGCCCTTGTCGAGGATGGCGCGGTAGTAGGTGAGGGCCCGCTCCACGGACGCCAGGCCCTCCGACGGGCCGGCCTCCCCCTGCTCGAGGAGAACGGACAAAACGGGGGACCAAAGATTACCCCCCCGCTCCTCCCCAACCCCGACTCCGTGTGGCCCTCGCGGGCCGCTGGGGGCAGGTTTCCGCGAAGGGTCGGCGTTGGTGCATGAGGTGGCAGCGTCGGGGCCCCTCGCACGGCTTAGCTGCATGTGTCTCCCCCTCTTCCACCCCCCGACTGCTGATGTACGCATGTTGAACTTATTTCGCACCGTACGCAGCCAACTGCGCTAGCCAGAGGTGCGGGATACGCCGGGTACGCATTTGAGGCTGAGTGGACCTAGAATAAGCCCCAAAACTGGCAAAGATATTTCGTCGCTCTTTGTTTCGAAGTCGTACGAGGGATAAGCACGCGCCGTATGGGCGGGATGGATGCATGCCACTGGATCTCACCGGGCGGGAGGGGGGGGGGGCGGCAGCTTCCTGCGAGTTATTAAAACAAGTTATGTGGTGACACTGCGTTGGCTGTGGGCGCACGAGCGCAGGTGACAAACGAAGCCGAACGCATTCGTCAAGAACAGCGCCGTGCGTGACACCAATGAGGAAAAATGTATAAGGGAGGGGGCAACGATGTAGACTTCGTTTACGTGCTATGAAGGAGGGCCATTGCCCGAAACGTCATCCATCATACATTTTTATTTTAAAGCCGTACGGTGTGTTGAGTTTTTTCACGAGTTATTTTTTCGTAATTTTTACATTTAAACGCACCGCATTCGCTCACTCTCAAAAGAGAGGGAGACGGAACGACTCCGGGGTGGTGCCAAAAAGTACCCAAGCTCTGCCGTCCTCTGCATATTCAGGTGTTATTAACCAATTTATCGAGTGTCTGCATGTGGGAGATTACCCATGCGCGAGAGGGGACAACGCTATATCCCATACAGACGGAACAGCTGGACTTCCACTTTGTTGCTGCACGGCCTTCTCGTAGCGAGCAAGGCCTTGGCAACCTCATCGACTCCCACGGGAAGGGAGATTCACGGCATTTGCGTGCGGCAATAAACTAAAAAACATCTAAACTATTTTTATTTTACCAGGTAAGGCCCACTGAGATACGTAGCTCTATTTCAGAAGCGACCTGGCCACAAATGATAGCTCAACGAAGTGGCACATAACGTGGAAATAATTGACATTTTCCAAACACTCTAAACGCGTGCTCATAAATGTGGAAGGAAAAACCGGTGGACCAGGAGAATAATCGACGCGACCACGGGGAGAGAGAGAGAGACACAACATGCAAACTCCAAATATACAGCAGCAGGCGTCAGGGTCGTGATCGAACCAACAACCTCCTGCATACCAGGCGAGGGAGTTAACATCTTGCCACTGTGTACACCCTTATCCACCAACATTCGCCGCTGCCCTCCACACAGCGCTGGGATACAGGCAAGCTACGTGTGTATTGCATTCCACCACCGCAGTTCGATTAGCTTTTCAGGATAGCGGTGGTCGGTGGGGGGGAAGACGTACCTTGTGCGTGGGAGAGACGGGCAGCGCATCGCCGGAGAAAGCTCGCGACCAGCGGAAGGACAGTGCCTCTCTTCACCCGCTGCGTCTGCAGCTTCTCCCGCCAGCGCATCTTGACGGCGGGCAGCCGCAGGGAGTCTGCGGGCGGCGTCAGCGGCACGGTCAGACGAACGATCGCGGCGCCCGTTTCGATCCGTGGCGCCGCCACAGTGGGTGCAATGGCGAGTCAGACAAACACACACACAAAGATCCCCCCCCCCCGCCCCCGTACAGCTGTAAGTAAGACCGTCGCGGAAAATGTGCGGTTTGGGGGAGCATCTATTGAATCTGGCACGGTCCTCCGAGGCTGCGGGTGTGGCTAACGCCGTGCCCACCCGCAGTCTTCGTTTCCCCTCGAGTGCCGATGTTTACGCTCGGCGGCAGGGCAGACAATTATGGCCGAGCTGACCCGGTGCGGGGGGGGGGGGGGCAACCAAAAAAAACAACAAGAGGAGACCTTTTTAATTTCGTTTTCGAACTCGGCCCAATTCGAGACAGTGGTCCCAAATAATTAAACGTCACGAAGTGGCAGTTCCCTTCAAGAGCCGTACGCGGCTCCAAAGCCGCGAGTTGCCGCGGGTTGCCGTCCTCCCCTGATCGTCCCCCCGGCCTCGGGGAAGGATTGTGACACGCTGGGGCACCGCCCGCCACGGACGTTGTACGAGCAGCAGGGATTTCACCTGGGACGTGTGGACTGTAGTCACGCACGAGAGTGTGAGAACGATTTCACCACCGTTACAAAAGACATTTTGCCTCGCGTAGCCTTCGGTAGACTGTTGGGGCAAGGCCGGCATGGCGCACGAAGGGGGTGGGTGGTCAGCACCACGTCCGGCTGCCTTTGTCTACCCAATGCTGATATTTACACACTGCACCAGGTATTCATTTAAGGCTGAGTCGACCTCGAGGAGGCCCAGGACTGCTTCAGATATTCGTCACCGATGCGAGCCGTGAGCGGGAATCGAACTGGGGATCGCCCGGTTCGTGGCGCAGCGCTAACCGCTGCACGACCGCTCCCAAGCGTAAGCAAGCACGCAAGCCACACACCCACACGACCATGCCTGCACACGCACGCACGTGTACCGATCAACAATCACTTTCACATGCTTCAAATTCCTCAGCCGCAGATCCCTCTCCCTCTGTACCAGTTCCCCGAGTCGTCCCCCCACCCCACCCACAGGAGCCTAACCAACAGTTCAGTAACGCCGAAAGTTGAAGGTCCCCCTCCCCCCCCCTGCATAGCCTCGACAGGTTGTTATGGGTCGTGCGCTGTTCGCGAGCACCTATTAAGGTCAGGCACGGCGCATGAGCGAGTCGGAGGCAAGTAAAAGACAACGCCTGTGCTGATGTTTATTACACACACACACACCGTGGCAGGTACTCAATTAAGGCCGAGTCAACCTAGAGGAGGGCCCAGGACCGGCCGGTTCAAACATTTGGCACTGTCGTTGGTTGCGAGCGGAGAATCGAACTCGGGTACCTCTGCCGGGTTCATAGCGCACCACGCCGCAATGGCAAGATGTTAACTCCCTCGCGCGGTACACAGGAGGTCTTGGTTAGATTCCGACCCTGACGCCTGTACATTTAGAAACACGCGTTCAAGAGTTTGGCTGCTGCACATTTCCACATCGTAAGCCACTTCGTCGAGCTATCGTTCGTGGCCAGCTCGCTTCTGAAAAAGAGCTATGTAGCTCAGTGGAGACCTAACCTGGCAGTATAAAAATAGAAGCTTTTTTATTTTATTTTAACCACTGCGCCACCGCTTCCTCGTCCAGGATGGAACTCAACCGTCGAATAAGGCGCAGGTCGCTCGCCTCCCCATGTGGAGGGAAGCCCCCCCCCCAAACACTCCCCAACACCCCCCCCCCCCGTCCCCTGTCCGTGCACATGGGCGATAAAAGAGGGGCCTTAGTTGGGGCCACAGGCAAAATACAAGAATCATCAGCAATGGTGAATCCACCGCTCGATTGAAGGCCTCAACCCCACGGCACGAGGCTCTTTTGGGGGCTGCTCGACCATACTTCACCACGTGGGTGGGGGAGGGGAAACGCATGTGTGTGAGAGCAGAGCAGCGCCGCGTAAGCCCCGCAAAGCAGAGGTCGCAAACGGGTTTTGATTCCTTACCCGTACCCGTACCCGGCCGCACCAGGGTCGCAAATGGGTACCCGTACCCGGCCGGGTACCCGTTCCCTACCCGTACCCGTACCCTACCCGAAATGAGTGACAAACGGTTACTCACCAATGACTGACGGCCTACCCGTACCCGTACCCGGCCGCACCAGGGTCGCAAATGGGTACCCTGTACCCGGCCGGGTACCCGTTCCCTACCCGTACCCTACCCGAAATGAGTGACAAACGGTTACTCACCAGTGACTGACAGCCTACCCGTACCTGGCCGGGTACGGGTAGCCGGGTATCGGGTAGGGTACGGGTATCGGGTACCCGGTTGCGACCTCTGCCGCAAAGGCTTTCAACAGACCCGCCTGCGCGCCGGGTGTTCGCCCATCCAGGGACTATTGAGGCTCAACCCTCGCCGCTTAGCTTCGTCCAGGGTCTGAATAAGATTGGGACGCATTTTTCGGGAGATCTTCTAACAAACAGATACGACACACCAGCCTGTTAGTGCAAAAACAAGGGGGGGCGGGGGGCGTTGTGGCGAAGGCGGCTAAAGACGAAGATATCCGCCGGGTAGCCTGCACAGGCTCTTGGGGCAAGCACCTTAAGCGGGCACAGGCCCGGCTGCCCTTTCATCTCACCAGCGCCGATGCCGATGTTTCACGTAGCGCACCAGTCACTCGATTTAAGGCCCGGCACGCACGAGGGGATCACGTTGGCCGGCACCACACCTGGGCCGTCTTTTTCTCCCTATAGTGGCGATGTTTACACACTGCACAAGGTAGTCCATTTGAGGCAGAGTCAACCCAGGGGAGGCACAGGACCGGTTCAGATAATCGTCACTGGTGTTGGTCGTGAGCGGGAATTGAACCTGGGTCACCGGGTTTGTGGCGGAGTGCAATAACGACGACACTACCGCTCCCCACTGCACAACAAACAAACAAAGATCCCCGTGTAGTCTTAGCAGACTGTTGGGGCAAGTGCTGTAGCGAGCACCTATGAAGGCCGGCAAGGTACACGAGGGGGTGGGTGTCCAGCACAATGCCCGACCGCCTATGTCTCCCCAGTGCCGATGTTTTTACACACCGCAATCAGGTACTCATTTGAGGCTGAGTCGACTTAGGGGAGGCCCACAGTACCAGTTCAAATAATCGTCACTGGTTTTGACCGTGAGCAGGAATTGAACCCGGTTCGTTGGGTTCGTAGCCCAGCGCGCTAACCGCTACACTACCGCTCCCCACTGAACAACACCCACACACACTCATGTCGTATATAAATAATAAAAACAACATTTCAAAAAATTAATTATCTTTCTTCAAAATATCTTGATGGACATGTTCCCCCTATGCATAAGCCCCTTCTAGATGCGGTCACAGTTTTAATGCTAAATCATTAAAAATATATATCTCGTTGAGTACTTGTATCCGGACTCGTATACGGAAATCGAAGGTCGCGTTTCACGACCGCGCACAGCTCGTTTGTCAAAATCCACTTACATCATGCAGGCGGTGAGGGTTATTTGACCATACTTCACCAGATTTGTCAGTGCCGCTTGGCGCTGGCGGAGAGGAAACGTACAGCGACGTTACCGGCGACGCACATCGGCACATTTGCCCATGACGTGACAACTTGATTCGTTTGGCCTTGGTCGGGTGGTGGTGGAGGGTGCTTAACTGGAATTATTTTTCTTTATCCCCCACCAGGGTAAAAGCACGCCGAGCTATGAGCCGTTGTTCAGCGGCGACCTGGCCAAACACACGTGTTCGATAGCCCATCGCAGTGGCTCATAACATCATCGTCATCATCATCATCACACGTGGCGATTTTTTACAGCAGCCAAATAATCTAAATGTCGACGTGGGGATAGGGGGTGGAGGGGTGGTGGCACCCGCAGAACAATCCACACGACCATCACAGAGAGAGAGCGATAACACGCGGAATCCAAATATACAACAACAGGCATCGCCAGGGTCCGGGAAAAACCTCTCACCAGAAGACACATATGACGAATTATAATGTAGGTCGTGAAAACCCATAGCGAGTATGATAGTTAACCTACTAGAATCTTACTCCTTGGTTCTTTCGGCAAAGTCACGTAGGTAGAAAAATAATAGATCGCGACGTTTCGATCGCAACACAAGCAATCGTCATCAGGTGGGACAACCACAACAAGAAAATAACTGCTCAAGTAGACGAGAGATCTGCCGTGGCACGAGGTTATATATGCCTCGGCATTAGGGGCGGAGAGAGAAGTGGTTACCCAGCCAATTCCTATCCAGGTTCAAGGCTGCTTAGTTTCTGAGGTTTGATGGGATCAGCTGCATTCTGGGTTATTTTCATACTGTGAGAAATGAAACCTCTGGCGCACACAAGGGTTTTGTTGTTTTCACCTGTGCACGCATGTTGAACTTCTTTCACAATGTACGCAGCCAGCCGTGCTAATCTGAGGTGCGGAAAGGGAAGTAACGATACGCGGCTGTCAAGTTAAAAGTAGATTCTTACACGCACGTTACTTGCAATTATTTGCGCTGCATGGTAATCAAATGCTAATGTATAGGTGGCTTTGCTGAGGCCTTCATCCAGCAGTGGGTTGATCATGGCTGATGATGAGGGGGTTAACAGCGAGTGGAAAGTGACGTTTTGGTTTTCCATAGCCACGACTGGTTTCGTCAAATCTCAGCTCTCCTTCTAAACAAGTGTTCTTCAGTTTAACACGTAGGCTTTTACGACCAATATCATTCACAATAACACGTAGGCTTTCACGACCAATATCACCCATAAGGTTTTTGGGTTAGATCATCCATAATAGAGTTTTTTTGGGTTAGATTGCGTAAATGTTCATAAATGTGTCGTTTAAACACGCCACCACCCGACACAGCCAACTAGTGAGGGTTGTCACGTAAACAGAACGTGGCCAATTCGTCACTAGTACAGCAACACCGGTTGTGTGTTGGAGAGCCAAGCCACAACATTTACAATCTGAGTACGACGTTTTGCCAGTAATTACAACCAGCTTCATGAATGGCGAAATGTCGTAAATGTTGTGGTTTGGCTCTCCAACACACACCGGTGCTGTACTCGTGACGAATTGGCCACGTTCTGTTTACGTGACAACCCTCACTAGTTGACCGTGTCGGGTGGTGGCGGGTTTAACGACACATTTATACATTTACGCGATCTCACCCAAAAAAACCTGAATCGCGAATGTTCTTCTGTGAAGGCCAGCGGTCCAGTAGCGGCCCCACGTGGCCTTTAAGTGTGGGCCCCCCCTTAAGTGTGGGCCCTCCTTTAAGTGTGCCCCCTCCCTGACAAACACAAACGTGAAGAAACACCCCCGACCCAACCAAGCGACGTTCGTCGCAGGTTCGCGAGCACACCGCACACGCGTGAGGCCATTGCAAAGTGTTTTGCCTGCGATTTGGTGGAAAAAGAAGCCAATGAACCCAGCGTGGAAGGTCACGGGGCCATTCCCCGTTGGCAGATGGGGGGCCATCCCCCCCCCCATCTCAATTGACGGCGTTTCCTAGAAACGCCTCACTCCGAACTCTGAGGTTTCGGCTGAGGGTCAAAAACATCTCAATTCGAAGCGAGGCTTATCCCATATATTGTGCACGTTATAAATAGCAATGTTATTATTATCGGGGTCTAATGACACTATGACACTTCTATGAACTACTGGACACCTGTGAAAAAGAGCTTCGTAGCTCATCGGATTCCTCCAGTATAAATAAATATTCAGATTCTGATGATGAGGGGGGGGGGGCAGCTAATGCCGGATTGTCACTCCAAGCCTCGGCAAACATTGGGCAGCTTGCGACAACGCGAGCCGGGCAACACAAGGGGGCCAGCCGCCTCCATCTCGGCCGTTTCACATCGAATCGCCAACGGCAACGGGGCAGGTGGTCGCTTATCGGCGACTCGCAGACTTCCCCCCCCACCACCACCACCACTCTCCCCACCACCACCACCACCACGACTCGATCCTGGAAAAATCATAGCGGGTGACGGTGGACGGCCACAAATGAAACCCCAAGCGGGGCTGCCACTGCCACCCCCCTCTGCCCACGCCCCCCGCCCCCCTGACCACGCCCCCCGCCCCCCTGACCACGCCCCCCCACCAATCCTCCAATCACCGCCTTCCTAACCGGTGCCACACCCCCCAGACCCGCATCCGACCACGCCCCCTCCACCAATCCTCCAATCACCGCCTTCCTAACCGGTGCCACACCCCCCCTGACCCCGCCTCCCATCCCACCCCCACCACCGCCCCCCCAACGGCTCCGTCACTTGGCAACCACGCGCGCTGATCTTCCGAGCCGCCACAGCCGCCGTTGCCAACGGCAACCGCGCGCGCTGACGAGGTCGCCGTGACGACCGCCCCCCCCCCCCACACTGCCCGGTGCGTGCGGTGGAGTGGATGACTCCCGTCTCGAATTCTATTCGCGTCGGGTCAACTCGAGTGTTTGTCCAATGGGGGTAAATAAATAATGAGACGGAATAATATCTAGAAAGATAACAAGGATTCGCGGCTCTATGTCGATCCCCTGGTGGAAGTCAGCCGTACGTTTATTTCGGCTGAGGTCAACTGAGTTTACACGAAATGCCCGTTTTGTTGTTGTTGTCGGACGCCCCAAAGACGAATGAGCGAGAGAGAGTAAAAAAACAACCGGCCACGTTGTTTTTAGCTTGGTGCCCTCAGGGTTGAGATAAAGCAATCGTCGCAAGCTTCCGGCGGCGGCTGTGGTGACCCTATCCACTGCTGGATGGAGATTAGCAATATAAGCGACCTTCGCAACGGCAGAATTTTCGAGGAACTCTCACCATTCACGTCCGCAGTTAGAGTCGTGAATCGATGGCTTTGCGTGTCCTTTGCATCATTTGGTATTATTACTCCGACAGCGAGCGGGCCCCTGCGCTGGTTTTTGTTCGTTGTTCCGTTAGCCCGGACGTCACACCGGTGAATCATTTCGGGCACTAATTTTGCCATAAATCGCGCTATTTTTTTCTCGCGATTAGTTCGATCGATTTCACGCTCGCGGCACGGGCAAATGCCTCCGACGCCGACGTACCTCGCTACAGGCCCTTCTCGGCTACTCCTCTTTTCAGTCTCATCGCCACTGCCGCGATCTAGATTTACACCTGCTAAAATTGTTTTATTTTCTTTCTTTTATTCCAAACCTACTCAACTGGGATCTACGAAGCACCTCCGATTGGCACGGTTGGCTACGTACGGTGCGAAAGAAGCTCAACGTACATTCATACAAAGCAGTCGTCCCACCGCCCCCCCTCCTTACTCCAAAAACCTTGCTCGAGTCTCCTGAAACAGAGCCACGAGAATCTGCGAGGATCTCCTGGATGAACAAGCATCGTAAAAAAAACCCATCAATAACGTCTGCCCACCTTGTCACGAAAGCTGGCGTCACCTCGCAAGGTCCACCACCATTTCCTGATAAGTCTTGCATGTTGAACCGTGTATGGATGTTGAACTATTTTTGCACCGTATGTCGCCAACCGTGCTAATCGGAGGTGCGGGGGGAGGAAACCAAACTAAACACAACAACAATCAGTTATAAAGAAATGAGTTTTCAATCTAGATAATTTAAAAGCGCATAGCTCCAGTGACTTCCCAATATCAGAAGAACGTTCCAGGCGGCTGCAGAAGCGCATCCGAAAGCGCGCGATGCGGTGACCCCGCCTTTGTTCGATGGTTGGCCAAAAAGCCGCTGCGAGGATGACCGGAGTTTGCTTGATGGCTTATGTTCCCGGAGGAGATCAGCAAGGTCATGAGCTGTGACGAAGGACCATTGCCCGAAACGTCACCTATTCACATACCGTCTCCCTTCTTAAGGCCACGGTGGTAACTGCTGAACGTGATGATTTTCATGCCGTTGTTATTTTTTCACGGTCTCGTTATCGTCTCGTCAGTGGAGGGGGGGGGCACTTCTCGTTAGGTCACGACCTCTGCGTGCCACTCCGACGACGTTACAGAAGCCTCGGCAGCCGATCCTCGCACCCGCTGGGGAAATTCTGCACGTCCGCGAGCGTCTCGTTTTATTTCAGCCGGGTACACACACAGCAGCTCTGGGGGAGGGGTGGTGGGTTGCTGCCGTCGTCGTAATGGGGAGCGCACTGGACTTATGAGCCAGAGGTCACCGGTTCGACCCCATCTCCCGCCACGGCAGTTGTAACAACCGTACGCAAATGGGTACGCCGCAATCAATCGGCAGGTTGCGTGTGGTGGGGTAAAGTGTGGGTACTCCCACTTCTTTCCACAATGTCTGGCCAGCGTGGAAGAGTAGGCCAAATACCCTGTAACAGAGGTCCTTCCGTCAACAGTGGCGTGAGCAAAGCAGTTGCATGAGCAACGCCGTTTCAATGCAGCACTCTTAGCTTGAGTGACCGAATTGGTGAGCGAGTGAGCGTCATGTACTCACCGCTCACCAGTGCAGCACTCAAGCGCCGCCAAACGCACAAACGCATAACCGAGAGCCGCGCCAACCCAACCTGCTGCGGACGCTGGAAGAAAGTTGTCGCGGAATTCCGGAAGAGAAAACTCCGACACATCGGATTTTTTTGCCGAAGAGACGGCGAGAGAGAGAGATGTGCTGGCGAGCCTTCGCCGTCGCCCCCGCTGTATCGCGCCGGGAGTTGGCGCTTGCTCTGTCACGAGCCGGAACCGACCGAGAACCCACAGGAGAACCGCCCCGTTGGTCCGATCGACCTGCCACCGTTTCCTCGAGTGAAGCGGAGAGCTTGTTTATTTTTTTATTTTTTGTTTTGCTTGTTTTTGTTTCCGGGCATAAAAATTACGTGGGAGGCTCACGAAGCCCCGGGGTTTTGCGACCCACAGTGGAGGTGCACCATGCCTGCCTGCCTGCCATACCTGCCTGCCATGCCTGCCATGACCACCTACCATGCCTGCCTGCCATGCCTGCCTGCGCTATGCCTGCAAGCCTGCCACGCCTGCCTGCCTGCAAGCCTGCCTGCCTACTTACCATGCCTGCCATGACCACCTACCATGCATGCCTGCCATGCCTGCCATGCCTGCCATGCCTGCCATGCCTGCCATGCCTGCCTGCCATGCCTGCCTGCCCACCATGTCTGCCTGCTTACCATGCCTGCCTGCCTGCCATGACCACCTACCATGCCTGCCATGACCACCTACCATGCCTGCCTGCCATGCCATGCCTGCCTGCCCACCATGTCTGCCTGCTTACCATGCCTGCCTGCCTGCCTGCCATGAACACCTACCATGCCTGACTGCCTGCCATGACTACCTACCATGCCCGCCTGCCACTCTTGGTGGTGGCAGTCACAAGTGTACAGATTATTTATTAACCGAGCAAGACGGAAAAAGAGTCGGAGGGCACCCAGGTGCAGTTCTCCGCTAACAGGTGAAGGTTAAGGCACAGCCCTGCAACTGCTGGCGGCGTAACGGCCACTGCTAGGAGAGCCCCTCGGGAGGGTAAGTGGCCTGCTCTTCCATTCTGACAGCTTGGCGACTCGTTCACTCACCACCCCCCGACTCATTCGCCCAGCTCACCCTTGCAACTGAGACTCAGGATCCCGTTGAGCACCCACCTGGTTAAACAAAATAACTTGAAGCTCTATGAGCCTGAGAACTGGGTGTGTCTCCCTCTTTCGGAAGGCCCACAAATGACTGCTGTCAGTGCACACCGAGAGAGTCCCCACCGATAATATATTCCAGCCCGAGGACTGGGTGTCTATCAGACTGTTCGTAATGGCTGCGTCTAAGACACCGAGCGAGGGAAAATTAAAATTCTCCGTTTCCGGCCCGAGGGCAGGGTGTCTCTCCCTTTCTCTCTCAGGAGGTTCATAATGGCAGCGTCTGAGACACTGAGCATCGAGGGTGGTTGGGTGATCCCTTGGGGGCAGGGAGTCTCTTTAAAGAAACCGAAAAATATAAATCCAGAGTTATTTCCCACACGCACTACAACCGTAGGGCGTGCAACGACACATCGATTCAACGACTAAAATCAATTTTCACAATCACGTGGGCGAAAATAGTTTTTTAGCGCTGGGACAATAAATCAACTTTGTCGATTTCATCGACTCCATATTTTTTTAACGTGCTATGTACAAAAGTCATTACCTGAAATGCCGGCTGTTATATAATCTTTTATACCTTTTAAGGACGAGCGCGGACTACTCGAGCCCCTTTAAAAAATCCTGCCTCGTGAAGGTGGGAAACCCCCCCACCCACACAAAGCCACAGCCCGCTTGACGCCGTTAATGATGCCGATGACATCACCAAGCCCAGCTCGTCGTCACCGCCCGTCCAGCGGCACACGGACGCAAATGGGGGGAGAGGTTCCCCCCCCCCCTCCTATTTTCGCGCTACCCGATTGGATGGCCAATCAATCCGACAATCGGCAGTCGTCGATCACGTCAACAAATGGACATCCGATAATTTTACGTCAAAACAAGATAAAATTATGGGTTGTAAACGTGCGACACAATATTAGAGCAGGAAGGCCAACGAACGCCCAAGCTCTGCAGCCTCCTTACATATTAATATGTTTTCAACCAATGAGTATTCCAATGGCACAGTGGGTTACGGACTGCGCTGTGAACCTGGCGACCCGAGTTCAATCCCTGGCCAGGGCTAACAGCGGCGATGGTCCTGGGCCTCCATATGCACCAAACCAGGCTGACCAGCATATCGAAGTATGGTCCAAACACCACCGATGACGGACAGGGAAATGAGAGGCCTTCAACCTGATAGAGGCCTCTAAATGAGCATTGTTAATTTTACTGCTTGTACAATTAAACAAAACTGAAATCCAACTAAGATTTGGCCTGTGAAGCCTTCGATTTCGAAGCCTCTTTCCGGCCAGCCATAACAGAGCAAACCTTCCACAGGACAAGGACGTGACGCAGACACATTCTCTGGCGAAATGAACATTGAAGCGAAACATCCGTGGCCCATGCGCTACTAACTGCTGGATGGACAGGTGCGTAACAACGGCTCTGCTGCTGTGCGGTGGGCAGAGGTCGCAAACGGGTTTTGATTCCTTACCCGTACCCGTACCCGGCCGCAACAGGGTCGCAAACGGGTACCCGTACCCGGCCGGGTACGGGTAGCCGGGTATCGGGTAGGGTACGGGGTATCGGGTACCCGGTTGCGACCTCTGGCGGTGGGCGACTTTCATTGAAGCAGGCGAGAGCCGTGCATTCTCCTATTTGCAGAAGGCACGAACACGCGAGGCGGCAGAAACAAAAACACGGCGAGCCAAACGGCCGCGGCACAAATAACAACAAGGTCGACGCGTTCGCCGCCAAAAGGAGGAACACATTCTTAGGTTTTTTCGGTAAAGTCACGTAGGTAAAAACATAAAAATTAATGAAAATAAAATAAAATAAAACAAAAAATCACGACGTTGTTGTGTTACCTCCGAAACGTCGTGATTTTTTGTTTTATTTTATTTTATTTTCATTAATTTTTATGTTTTTACCTACGTGACTTTACCGAAAAACCTAAGAATATGAATCCTTGCAGTCACGAAAGCTTCAAATCTAGGAGGAACACAACCTGCTGTACATCCTTACTCTTTGGTTCTTTCGGTAAAGTCACGTAAGTATAAAACATAAAATTAAATCACGACGTTTCGATCGCAACACAAGTCACCGCCGTCATCAGGTGGAACCGATACAGCAGGACAACTGCTGATTTAGGAGAAAGATCTGCTAACAACAAGAGCTTATACAGATCTTCTTGGTTCTTTCAGTAAAGTTGCGTAGAATGGAAATAATAAAATAATAAAAATAAAACATAATAAAATAATTCTCACGACGTTTCGGCCACAATGCAAGCAGCCGTCCTCAGGTGAAGAACAGGTCTGTCGAGGAGACAGAGTCTGAAATTTATTATTTCCATTCTACGTGACTTTACCGAAAGAACCAAGAAGATGAATCCCTGCAGTCATGAAAGCTTTAAATCTAAATTTAGCTTATACAGGGTTTTGATGGTGTACATCGTAGGTGACATCGTAGGTGACGTTTCGGGCAAACGGCCCTTCCTCACAGCGGAGATTTGGTCAGGTGCCCGCTGCTGTGATGATGAAGAGCCACTTGCCTGCAACGTCACGTAATCGTCTGCTATGAAGAAGGGCCGTTCCCTAAAGCATCGGCCCCATTGCTCAAAGAATATTGTTCCACTCTAGGGCGGTGTTATTGACGAGCGTGTTGAGTTTTTGTTATTAGAAGTATTTTTGTTTGTTATTGGCTATCCACGGTGTAGACTTGTGGCAGGTAATAACAACTCCATGGTGCTGGTATAACTCAAGCGTAATGGATGTTTTGCATTAAACCACACACTCTGGTGTGCTCTTATGGATGACGACCATCACGATGACAAGCGAATGTGTGTATGGGCACCGCAAGTAGCAAGCCGTGGGCTAAATCGGAGGTACCGGTGGTGGGGGGGGGGGGGGTCAAACCAAACACAAATGATGAGTCTCCACCGTTCGCTCTGGTAAAGCGAACTCCGCGCAACAATCAGTGGCGAATGTTCGGTTGTGTTGGGGGGGGGGCTTGAAGCTCTATGTCACACGAGAGGGGGGGGGGGGGGGTGCGACACAGCGGCTCGCCGCATCTGCAATTCAAACCTGGGCGGCAACGAATATTCAAAAATTAAAATAACAATGACATGGGCGGGCGACGACATCTGAACTGGCCAATGGGGGTGGGGTGGGGGGCTTTCGCCCCACTGACCAGAGTGGTGAAATATGGTCAAACGACTCCCACGGCCCAAGGCAAAGTCGGCGGAGGGAGGACCTTCGTTCAACAGCGGATCGACACATGGGCCCCGATTAAGTGAGTGCAGTTCCCAGGTAAACAAGGGACGTCAGGGCGTGTTTTCATTGGTGATCACACAGCAGAATATTGAAAACAATGCGGTAGCGGTTTCAACAAGCATCAACACGCGTACAGCAGAAATTGTTTGTAAGTCCACTGCCGGACGAAGGGACTTGCCCCACCACCCGGAGGCTGTGATTTGACCATACTTCACTACGCCGGTCAGTGTGGGTTGGGGAGCACGGCACGCTGACTACAACAAAGGAATTCGCTGCATCATCAGACAATGCCGTGATTATTACAGAACGCTTACCTACAGTGCAGCACTAATTATATTAAAATGGCAAAAAAATACTGAACGTAGGAACCTGTCGAAAAGCAGTCGTGGGACTCATTGGCAGAAGGTATTCTTAATAGTTTTGAAATAAATTACATGGATGGGTGTTGTTGGTGGGGAAGTAGTGGCACAGCGATTTGGCGCACTACGCAATGAACCTCGCGACCCCAATTGCACCCAAATTCGATTGCGGTCAGGGCCATGGCTGAGACATCAGTGGTCAAGCGATGACCCCCCCCCCCACCCCCTCGACTGACCAGAGTGGTGAAGTATGGTCAAACCCCTAATGAATTAGGTATGGGGTGGGGGGGGGCCTTCATCCAGCAGTGGATTGACACATTTGTCGATGTATTCTATCAAGAGCCCTCCCTCCCTCCACAAAGCTCAATGCGCCGCGCCGGTCGATGTGAATATTTGACGTTAACGAAAATTAAAACGTAATCGTTACACACTTTTTAATACTTTCACTTTCTCGCCAATTTACGTATCCGCGCGAACTGATTCAAACGAGAGGAACACAACAATATGTTAAATAAACTCTTGCTACAACTTGCATCGGCCCCAAAAAAACGAAGAATAGCAAGAAAGCTTCTAAATCACGGATAGCGGCTTGAGTGAAGTAGTGGGGAGAGGGGGGGGAGGAGATACAAAGACGGACAGGGTCGTAATCAATCAACACATCAACACATCAACCCACTCCACTCTCCTGTAGCATCTCGATCCGGTAGAATGGAGATCAAGAACAAACCCCACTGGAAGGGCCTCTGAACACACAAGAATACGCGGACGAGAAAACACCCAAAAAAACACCCCCACAAGGGCTTTTTCAGAGACTACAGCGGTAGTGGTTGGTGGTGAGTGTGGTGGTGGTGAGTGTGGTGGTGGTGAGTGTGGTGGTGGTGAGTGTGGTGGTGGTGAGTGTGGTGGTGGTGAGTGTGGTGGTG